GCTGCGGCATGGGCTCTCGGCCTCGACGGGATGTACATGTACTTACACAATTTGCTCCCAAGTGAAGACGCAGGCCAATTGTCGTCAGTGTTTGACAACCACCATCTGCGCTGATAAGGATGCTGCAGCGCATGCATATGTACTAGCAGTCATGTATGTACCACTGGGACGATGCGAGGATATTGATGGAGTCGTGGAGCGGCCGGAGCGCCAAGCGGAACGAGCACCTGGCCATACAGCATACAGACTGCTGCTGACTGCGATAATGGAGTGTGCATCCAAGATAAGAGCCGTGATAGCAGCAGCGATAGCGGCAATCAAAAGCTGTACTGTGCAGCACTCGTAATTTGCCTGCAGCAACGAATGCGCTCACGAATTGGCGGATGCAAGGACAAGGACACCGTCTCTTTGCAGCCCCTTTCTCACCCTTTCTCACCCTTTCACCCTTATCGCGGTTGTGGACTGAACTGAAGCTGCGGACCAGACAGACGCTGGACGCTGGGCCCGGGGTCGGCGGCTCTGGCAAGGGATCGGCTGGCGTGCATTTGAGAGAGACTCGCATCATTGCGCTACGACCAAGTCCCGTCCGGTACTTGGGAATAAGATTCGAGGCTAGAATCATTCATTATTCGCAGGCGGAACTGCCTGGAAGGTACCCGCGAATGCTTTGTCAAACATTGACCGAGAATGGCGTGCTGCATCACTATGCATCTGTGCGAGTCGTGGCAGAGCAACTCGTCAGTCAGCGCAGTTCCGGCCTCGCAGCTGTTGATGCATCATACCTATCATTTGCTAGCTCTTCCTCTTTCGCAGGAGAACAATACTGAATGATACGAGTACCAATACTGACAGACAGACACGACACCACTCCTTAGGCCAATATCCTCCGTCCTGTACCGCTACATACATGCACTACAACCTCCACGAAGAGCGGCTAGCATGCCGCGGCCAAGCAGGCTACGACATTAGCACGTACGAGAACAAGCACTCGTATGCACCCTGGAAGCATTGAAACCTCGCAAGGTGCTCACTTCAAGGCTCCGTGAGTCTAGCGTCGACGGATTGCAACCCCCATCTCCGCCAGCTATTGCCTTGGAGCCCACTGCGAGACAGCCGGAGGACCCTTAAATCGGGGAACCACCTTGAAGCCGCGCTAAACCCACTCTTTGCTGTTGGTCATTCATGTAGGACTTTTTAGGCCATGTTTTGTGCCGGTGACAGTGATGCCTCGTGCCTGGTCGAGGAGGGAGGGCACTGCCTCTCGTTCTGATCATCATGGCTGCCTCCGTTAGTACCTTTATGGATTGACTTGACTGATGGATTCACGCTCGACGAGGACCGCATTTCGGTGCTACTGTACTCAAGCTACTCTCCTCTCAGGTGGTCCTGGTCCATGCAAGGGCGTCGTCCGCAGTAGCTGCATCGAGGCGGCGCCATGGAGAAAAAGTATCCAGGAAACAGGCCATGCTGGCTTATACTTTGTATCTGGCGGGCGCACCACAGCGCATGTGTACATGCATCGTCTGGTAATACCGGCTGCGCTGCTTCATGTACCGAGTACGACAAAGAATGTTACAGGCCAATTGAGGTTACACCCACAACGGCCACCGCCAAAGCGGGCGACTGGCCAACTAAAATTCTGCCGGACGATTGCTCCCAACAAGGCCTAAATTAGACTCACCGCACTCGACATGTTATGTTGCGTCTTGTCTACCTCATTCCTCTGGGATGTTGATTTCCGCCGGCTTGCGCTCCCCGCCTTTTCATCTTTTCCGGCCTTTATTTTCCTTTTGCTTTTGGCTTTTCCTTTGTGGTCATGCCATGCTAGCGGGTGGATGGCGCCAGTAGCTGCCGGCTATTTGAGACAGATCGAAAGGTCTGTCACATCCAATCAAGCTTTCCCAGCCTCACCTTTCATCTCCACGATGCCATCGTCCGTTGCTGTGAGACATGGGCCTCCTTTACGGCCTCTGTGCTCGCCCTTTTGGTCCGGGGGGAGAATCAAACAGCTCCCGTACAACTAATCGTAATCAAGTCCAGACCTCCCTCCCATTTGATCAAGGTCGCGACAGCTACACACCTTGTGCGTTGTAGCAGGTACTTGATGCATCGCTTTGCGTCAAATCAGCCAGCCCGTTTCCTACGTGGGATGGCTTGATTTGACTCTGGCAAGTGGCCCCCCTGCCTGCTTAAAGCAGCCATGGCCAATCCCATTGACGCCTGGCGTCCACAGCCGAGGGGAGTTGGTGGTGCTGCTGCAGAGTTGTCTATACATCAAACTCTCGACTCCATATCCTGACCCGTCCTTGCATACCGTATTCCCGTTCATGCAGCTGGGACTCGTCATCAAAACACTCAACAAATACAAGTGCTGTAGTGCCTGTGCAGAACTGTGTGCTTTAATGCAGTCCACCAAGGTAGCGAATCGACTCCGAGGTCCAGGGATTCCTTTTCCTCCCTCTAGCCCCGGCTAGCTGTGACATGGGCCTCGTTTTAGCGTTTAGCAACTCCAAGGCTCAACATTCTTCGTTTGACGCCCAAGAGGGTGGGTTTCACGAATACGGGATGTTTCTCATCTGTACGCGAGGGGACTTTGTCGCACTGAGACTTGATTTTTTATTTATTATTTTTAGTATCCGTGGATTTCATTCTCGGCGGGCTTGGGGCCCCATCGCATCGCATCGCATCTCATGGGCATCCGTCATAATCATATGCACCAAATCCAGCCACCCTTGCTTGCTTGACTCGGTCGACGCTGACAGCCCTTGACATCACCAGCATCTGGCCCCATGGCCTCGACGCTGTCAAGGTGCTCCGATTGCCTGATCAGATTTCAGGTGAGAAAACGACAAGTTTCCCACGGTTGCCATCACATAGGGTCAAACGCTCGCCCATCCATCACCTGACGTTGCCTATGCGTTTCTTTCCCGTCTTCCCCCGCTACTGCATCGCCATTGAGCTGCGAGCCAGGCGACACGTGCAATCCGATGGTGGTGAAAAGACGGTATATCACACACACACCTTCTCTTCCCTCTCCTCATGCGCGCAAGGATCTCGACGCCGGTGCAATTCCAATGTGCTCGCGGTGTAGGAAGCGGCTTGAGGCGGCATCGCGGCTTTGCGACATGTCGTGTCCCATGCGGTCGGCTGGCTTTGACCTAGACCGATGCGCCGCTTTTTGCTTTTCTGTCTCATGGGAGGGGGGGAGGGATCGACGTGAGGAGGAGCTGAGAACCAAGCCGAGGGGTTCAGAAGATGGCTTTTCCCCTGTTTGGCCCAGCACTGGGTGCGCTAACATCGAGGCAATCGTGGGCTGAGCTGTCAATTAACTCTAAGAGCTGGGGCCGGTTTCTAGATTACAGGACCGTCGAAACTGCCCGCCCTGCATAAGGTGCTGCATCGATCGATCACGGCCTCAGCTAGATATGAACCACAGCAGGACAGAGGGCAACACAAGCCGCTCTCACGTCCTATCATGGCGAACCACGTCCCAAGCACCGAAATCATTTCTTGAGGCGAAACCCCAGACTGAGCTACACGCGCATCATGACATCAGCGGGAAAACACAAGATCTGCATGCCACAATCAACCCTAGCAACCTAGGCAGCTTGCCGGATTCTCCCCCATGACGCCGAAATCATGGCCCTCTGGGAAAAGGTCAAGATGATAGACCAGGCTTGCCGGATTAGGAGTGCTGAGTTCCCCCTACCTTGTCCCATGCATGCTGACCCAACTTGGCATTCCAAAGTACGGTAGAGTACTTTGATGAATACGACGTTGAGCCTCTTGGACGCATCTTTCTCATCGCCACCTTGCGGCTCCATCCGGCGACAAGGTGCCGAAATGACAAGATGTCTATTTTAATCCAATAGACAGACGTGTTATTTTCTATACTGCCCCGGCGAGGCATTATAGACAGATGGCAGTGTTACCCCCGTCCAACCTGGCTATACTCGTTGACTCCATAATCTAGGCATCCAACGCTACAACACCATGGCCATGAACCTATCACGTCAAACCGTTAACGCGCACACACGCTCGCTCCAAGCCGTCAATCAATCAATATCAAGCACTCAGTACCTGGAAGATAGGCGACCCTCCCCCTTCGTTTACCATATTACTCACTCCGCCTAGTCCTGCATATCTAGCACAAACACTATCACACAGCTCATCACACACTCACTGACACTCACACACCCCTTGCAAAGCTTGCATACACACTTTCGTCCCCCGCTTTCAACCCTTCCCCATGTCTCCTGCATAACGCTGCCTTGGGCTGCCATCCGAATTACTCGTCTAGGCACCGAGCCTGCCATCCCATTGGTACGGAATTGCCATGGCCTGAATCTAGACTCAGCACACCCTTTTCTCCCCATTCCGTGGCGCTCAGAACGCGCTCTGGACTAGCCATCTCTACGCTATCTCGGGCAAGCGAAAACGCAATTGCTTATCGCCAATGTTTCGGCTTGTTTCCCGACTTGGAGCTTTCATGTCGTGAACCACGCGCTTCCTGCCACTTACGTGACCCATTGTCGTCCTTGCATATATGTTACAGCGCGCAATAGTCTTGGGTACACAGGATAGGCACGCAAAAAAAGAGACAAGTCACCGCGTTAATGCAAGAATTCCTGCTTTTTTCCAACGCCGGGGGGCGATTAAGGGCGCACGACGGGCCTTGTCGGCCGGCTAAGTTTTGACTTCTTGTCGTACAGGACACGAATGGGACGGGAGCGGAATATGCAGACCGAGTGCCGCTTGAGCCGCTTGAGCCGTTCCAGCCAGTTAAAGGTGATTGTAGAAAGACGTAGATTGCATGATTCGTGGTGTTGTTAGAAAAAAAAAAAGCTTCTCCGCTTCAATGCAAGTGACAGCTCGGCGAGATACAAAGTTAGGACGGTACCAGACACGTAGCAGGCCTGTTCTACATGTATATGCGGCTAGTGAATTCAGACAATAAATACACTTCATGTTGTAAAATAGGCTCTGCCTTGGCAAGGTTTATGCTTCAAAATTTTCATCTCATTCCGTCGTCTCCTGCATTTCTAGCAGGCATCAATGCTACACTACCAAACTACCGTTTCGCGCCGCGGACAAGACTCTGTCCGACCTGACTCTGCATCAGGGAAAAAAACAATCTTCCGGAGCCAAACGATGGCAAAAGAGAAAGATACAAAGAAAAAAACAAATATATGTCCCCGCAAAAAAACAAGGGGGAGACACAATTCCCAAAACAAAATCCGAATATGCTCCCGTTCCTATGCTGCTTCATGACCGGTCCTGGCTATCCCTTGGGTATCTTATATGTTTGACGTGTTAAATCAAAAAGGAAATTCTTTCGTCTCTCTTTCCGCGTGGGTCGCCCTCATAATTCCCGGAGCTCGCGCTCACGAGGCAGCTGCGTCTACTTCTCGTAGGACGGTACGCCGTCAAACCACACACACACACACTGACACACCACCACCCCTCTTCAGACTGCTAAAGGAAGTTCGTCAAATGTCATTTTTTAATGGCCATTGGCCTGAGGGGCGGTGGGGAGCTCCTTGATGGCCTCGGCGATGATGCTGAGACCCTTGTTGAGCTCCTCTTCGGTGATGACGAGAGGAGGCGCGAAGCGAATGATGTCTCCGTGCGTTGGCTTGGCCTAAAGGAGGGTCATTAGCACATATATTGCATCAGAAAGAGGGGTAACAAAGAGAGGGACACGAGGCAGAATAAGGCAGCAATAATATAAACGCAGAGATGCCTGATAGGCAGACATGGGACTTACCAAAAGGCCCTTGCTCTTCAGCAGGAGGCAGAGATCCCACGCAGTTCGGCCAGAAGCAGCCGTTTCGTCAATGACAACAGCGTTCAACAAGCCCTTGCCGCGGATCGTCTTGATAATAGGCGACTTGAGAGCAGCCACACCATCACGGAAGATCTTGCCCAGACGCTCAGCGTTGGCAGTCATGTTCTCCTCCTCGAGAATCTCCAGAGCTCGAATGGAAACGGCGCAGCCCAGGGGGTTGCCGCCGTAGGTTGAACCGTGAGTACCGGGCTCAACAACCAGCATAATCTCCTTGCTGCTGAGAACGGCACTGACAGGGTACATGCCTCCGGAGATGGCCTTGCCGAGAGTAACAATGTCGGGCTTGATGCCAGCCCACTCGGAGCAGAGCAGGCGGCCAGTACGGCCAATGCCGGTCTGAATCTCGTCGCAGATGAGGAGGACGTTGTGCTTCTTGCAAAGAGCCTGGACCTTGGTGAGGTAGTCATCGTCGGGAACGACAACACCGGCCTCGCCCTGGATGGGCTCAACGATGAAGGCGGCGGTGTCCTTGCCATGCGCCTCCAAAACCTCCTCCAGGTCGGCCACGTTGTTATAACGGATAGGCTTGCCGGTAGAAGGAGAGGTGGCACCGATGTTGGGGACATAGGGGCCGTAGTTGTCCTTGGATTCGGGGTCGGTAGACAGGGTAATGGCGGTCATCTGAAAAAAGTGTCAGTATACTTGTCTACCACTTGAGCCGGAAGCTGAACAGTGCCTCAAGTTTTTGGTTCAAGAGCAGCGGTCCATCTTCCCTCCCCCAAAGGCTAGCACACTTACAGTTCGGCCGTGGAAGTTCTCGGCAACGCAAAAGACCAGTGCCTTGCCCTGCTCAACGCCCTTGATCTTGTAGGCCCACTTGCGGGCAATCTTGATGGCTGTCTCAGTAGCCTCAGCGCCGGTGTTCATGGGCAGCACCATGTCGTAGCCGAAGACGTCACGGACCTTCTCGGCCCACTTGGGGAACACATCGTTGTAGAAGGCACGCGAGCTCAGAGTCAGGCGGGAGGCCTGGTCGACAAGAGCCTTGACGAGCTCGGGGTGGCAGTGGCCCTGGTTGACGGCGCTGTAGGCGGACAAGAAGTCCAGGTACTGCTTGCCCTCGGGATCCCAGACATTGACGCCCTGGGCCTTGGAGAAGACGACGGGAAGAGGGTGGTAGTTGTGGGCAGCGAACTCGTTCTCAGCGGCGATAGCGGCATCGGTGGATGCGGCGTGGAAGCGGGAAGCCATGGTGAATAGATTTCTGATTGTGTATTGGGAGAGAATAGGTCTAGGTCTAGGTCTGGGGCGTTAGCCAATGTTGAACCAACAACAAGGTGGAATAGACATGAGGTTGGTGTCAGATGTCGGAAAAAAGGCGTCGACGATAAGCCGATACATGGGGGGGGGAGGGGCAGAGATAAGGCTGAAAAGATGAAGATGTCCGTGATTCGGAGCTGCTAGGCAATGGACATACCGGCTCAAATACTGAAAGAGGGGAGGATGAAATTCACAGGACAGGATTGCTATGGGAAGAAAAGAAAGAGAAAGAGAAGCTGTGCGTACAAGCTGATCCAAGATGGCCGGTGGGTATATAAAGTTTTGTGTTTGGCGAAGCCCACCTACAGGCGTCGGAGACCACCTGACCAGGCCATGGCAATTCTAGGCACAGCAGCCAGTCAACGTGGAATCAATGTGTCAACTACTCGACCCAGATCCAGGCATTGGAGACGAGATACGCCGCCGCTATACCCCTAAGTGCAAGTGGGAGTAGAAGCAGGTGGAGATGCGGAACATTGTGCGCCAAACCAACGCCGTGGCGCCGAACCGGAGGACGAGGCTCGCAGGAATCGGATGGCCCACGAGACAAGGACGGCCGGTTGGCTTCGGCATTCCCACGTTGGACCCCTAATCAATAACTTAACCCAGCGGATGGAGGGGTATCGAGATGAGCTATTAGTGCGTTGGTGGCTGACCGAGGATCCGGAGAATGAAGGTGCAGGGATCGAAGCTGGTGAATACTACCTAGTACTACCTACCTACCAACCAACATACTGTAGTACCTGGAGAAGAGTAGACGCTAGGTTAGCAGGTACTATGTAAGGTAGTCTTCTGCCCGGTATCGAGCATCAGCCCTATGCAGAAGCAATTTGTCTTCTCACCTGTCGAAATAGTCGATAGCACCACGAGTCGACCAGAAAAGCACCAGCACGGTGGATTTGCAGGCAAAACCCCCACAGTTTGGCCATGATTTCAGGTTGCCGCAAGAAAAGTGGGGGGAAGCGTGTCGTCAAGAGCCCTGTCCAGCCAATGGCGGTAGCAGCATTACGTACATTGGCAAAGCAACCTAAGATGTGCGATTCAATCATTTATCGGGCACAATCGCAAGCACCAGTAAGATGATGTAATGCATGCTTGCTTTGCTGCAGGGGTGGGGAGGGACGCTTTTGCTGACCGACGGTGATGATGATAATGATACTGCAGCTGCTGATCAGTTGGGGCCAGACAAGGATCAAATGCGATGTTGAATGTAGATACTTGCAGATGGTATTTTGTTTAGGAAGGTAGAGATTGTTACAGGTAAGAGATGGGCAGTCATCTACGGAGTACTAGCTCGTAGCACATGTGATTTGATATCTGGTGCTCTTATCAGGCTATCAATCAATCAATCAATCAATGCTATCAAGGTGCACAGAGTGCTGGGGTATCCCTAGAGCCCGCCAACGGCAAGGTATATTTATTTACACATGATTACTCTCCAGCGATGCTTATAGAGGCACAAAAAGTAATCAAATGCCATCAATTGCAAACCATATCCATTGATTGGTAACAACACCCAAGCATTGACTGCTAGATCCAAACTCTACCGCCTAACCAATCGCCCTCTAGCGGACCCCCTATCCCCTGTAAACCCAGCCAATCCACCACCTACCCACCCCCCGAAACCCTTTTTCCCCAGTGAGACGTCCAATCAACCACTAACACACATGCATCCAACGTCTGGCCAAATCCTCCCATCATGGCCGGCCACAGACGCGCTCCCTCGGCCTCGTTCAAGGCCAAGCCGCGTCTCTCGCCCGTGCCCCTGCGAGACATCATCATCATCCGCCTCGTCAATGCCTGCTATCTGGCCACCTTCTTCCAGCCCGACGAGTTCTTCCAGGCCCTGGAGCCGGCATGGCGCCTTGCCTTTGGGGCCAACAGCGGCGCGTGGCTCACATGGGTATGTCCTTCAATGCTATCTTTTTTTTATATCCATCCACAGACACTCGTATATCATCAATTGGAATCCAATTATAGCTTCAAAACAATTAAAACCACATTGCTGACCATTCTAAACTCTCCAACAGGAATGGCATCACCAGCTGAGATCATCCCTCCACCCTCTCCTCTTCTCAGGCGCCTACATGGCCGCAGATCGCCTCTCCACCATCTTCCCCCCAGGAAACGCCATCCGCTCTGCCATTGTCATTGCCGCTCCACGCGTCCTGCAGGCCTTCATTGCTGCTTTGGGTGACTGGTACACCTGGCATCTCGCTGCCAACGTCTATGGTTCCGATAGCAACGTCTCCTTCTTTGCTGTAAGTTTCATCTTGAACCCCCTTATTCATCACGAGCCCCTCACTCATCATCATCATCACAGCTCTTCATGCAACTCCTCAACCCATGGCAATGGTACTGTTCCACCAGAACATTTTCCAACTCCCTCGAGACCACCCTCACTGTCATGGCCCTGTGCTACTGGCCCTGGCAGCTCGTCGGTGTCGCCCCCTATTCCATCAAAGAGAACTCGAAGCCCTTCAACGTCCTGCGCGGCAAGCTCTGGCGCCTCCGTGCCTCGCTCTGTCTCGCCGCCTTGGCCGTCGTCCTGCGTCCTACCAATGTTCTCATTTGGCTCACCATTGTCTTCATTGCCCTGACGAGGGTGACGCTGCAGGGCAACTCGCCCTTGAGCGTCTCTTCCGTCCTGGTTCTCTTTAGAGAGGCCATCTTGTGCGGCTCCTTGGTTGTTAGCCTTTCCATTGTTGCTGATCGTCTTTACTTTGGATTCTGGACCTTTCCGCCTTATAACTGGCTCAACTTCAACATTTCCAAGTCCCTTGCCGTCTTCTATGGTCGCAACCCCTGGCACTATTATCTCCTCCAGGGCATCCCTCTGTTGTGCACCACCAGTCTACCTTTTGTCATCCCAGCTCTCTTCAAGCCTTCGTCCAAGACCACCGATCAGGCCAACATCCTCCGGACACTCTCCTGTACTGTTCTCAGCACCGTCGCCGTGCTCTCTCTCATCTCCCACAAGGAAGTCCGCTTCATCTATCCTCTGCTCCCGGCTCTCAGCGTCCTCGCCGCCCCGCGGGCCGCGTCCTTCTTCACTTCCGTACCCAAGACTAGCCCACCACCCTCCATCTCCTCCGCAGCCCAGATATCTGCGCCTCAGCCCTCCGGAACAAAGTCACCTGTTGTCCGCCGCGCTCGCCTCCGCAACAAACCTCTCCTCCTCACGGCTCTGGGAATCAACGTCATCCTCGCTGGCTATCTATCCTTCCTACACCAACCCGCGCCCCTAACCGTCCTATCGTTCCTCCGGAAACAGTACGAGAGCATCCACCCCTCTGCTGTCCTCACCGCCCACGTAGACCACTACAGCTCTCCTCCAAACACCACCCAGGAAGACCTCTTCGCCCTCTTTCTCATGCCCTGCCACTCCACCCCCTGGCGCTCCCACCTCGTCTACCCAGGCCTCTCCGCCTACGCCCTCACCTGTGAGCCCCCGCTGCACACCCAACCAAACACTCCCGAGCGCGACCTCTACCGCGACGAAGCCGATCGCTTCTACGATAACCCCGTGCCGTTCCTGCGCCACGAGCTCTTTGCCCCGGAGAACCCCGTCGTCCCCGTCCCGCGGTACATTGTCGGCTTCGAGGGTGTGGAACCATGGCTCCGTGAGTTCTTGGACACACCCGAGGGTAAAAAGCTGGGCATATCGCAGCTTACGCCCGTGTGGGCTGGTTTCAACGGGTTTTTCAACGAGGACTGGCGAAGGGCGGGATATATGATGGTTTGGGACACGGGGGTTTACGGAGGATCTAGTACAAAAGCTTGATTTCTGGCTTCATTTGCAATTTCACGTTTTGATTTTGAGTTGTTTGCATATTCTAAGATGGGGTAATAGCATCATGGGGGGAGCAATACAGCAAACGAGGGAGTAAGGGAAAAAATAGCAAGCGGTTGATTCGTGCCACATAGATAAAACATATCGACCTTGAATACTCTATAATTCACAGACATGGAAGAAATAATTCACCTGAAACCAAAAGTCTCAAATAAAACCAACTTGTTTAAAATCTATCACTTGTATTTTTCTCTCATCTCATTTTTACATTGCACAACGGCACAACACCGACATATGTCTCTCATAACTTAAAATAGTTTCGTACCTAGTATTCCCGTTCCAACATGCCTCCTCACATACATACAACCAATGTTTTAAGACGTCAAGGTTCCCTTTTCCACACTCTCCTCTCTTCTCCAGGGAAAACAACCATCGAACACATGATGACAAAGGAGATTCGTTAATTCTAAAAAAGAAGAAGAAGAAAAAATGGAACCAAATGGGGGGTTGGTAGAAGAATAGAACAGAAAAGAAACACATCATATGAAGCATCCCGCCAACTCCTCGTAATCCTAGATACATCTCGTCGCAATGGAAAAAGCGTTTCAACCAAAGTCACTATGCTTGCTTTCCCTCCTGCTCTTTATCTACAGCAGATGTCGACGGTTGTTCCACGGGCGGCACCGTCTCAGATGGAGGGTTTGTCGGAGCTTGCGTCTTAGGCTGGACAGTTGTCTCGGGAGCCGCCTCTTTGGTGGCATCAGCGGTTGGTGTGGCCTTTTGAGCGATAGGTTCTGCTGGTGCCTGCTCTGTATCGCTTATGACCCTGTGGATCGTCATACCCTGAGCGGGCTCTCTCTGAGCCGCATCCGTCTGACCAAGCTTTCTATATGCCTCTGGTGGGACATTTATCTTGTCTTTTTGCGAATCCTTCAAAGCATCTAGTTGAGCTGGCTTTGCGAAAAGGTTTTCTTGCTCTCGAGATAAGTCTCGGTTTATATCTAAGCTCTTGCCTCGTGAAGCTAGGCTCGGGCCAAATGCTTGATGGTGGTCTGGGGGAGGCGGAGACTTGGTCCGCTTTTGATCAACGTTTTCTTTGGCCTCTCGATACTTGTGCTTTATCCAGCCAATTGGGCCTTTTGCGTCCTCCTTCTCATCCCGTGAGCTTTCATACGTGTATGCGCGATCGCTACCACTTCCCAGGTGCTCTGAGCTTTCGCCAGTAAAGCTTTTCCGGGGTTTAGCAATGGCGCTTCCAATCGAGGTGGTGCTAATATCTGCATTATTGTTTGAGCCTATGTTAAACTGCGGTGGCGATGCCCTGGGACTGGCCGGTCCACTTGCAGAATCATCTTTCTTGGCGGTCCTCGACAATCTCCATCGGCTCTTCTTTTCCTTATCGGCCGTCTCGACGATTGCTGGCAGAGGGTCGTGAGCTACCTGTTCAAAGTCCGAGCCGTCATTGAAAGATGAATTAACCGAAGCAGGAGGGGACTTCTTTCCCCGCGAGATATCTTCAGGTCGCAGTTGCTCGTGATAGTGAGAGATTGCGTGATTGTGGTGATCAGCATGATTCTGGTGAATTGCAGGGGTCGAGTGCTGGTGATGTAAATCCGGTTGCTTCTGAGTCTCCACAGAGGGTGCCGAAGCAAAAGGCGCCGGCTGGGGCACTGAATGAGGAATGGCACTCGGGCGGAACTGAGGCTGTGCTATGGGCTGTGCAAAAGCTGGTGCCGCCTCCAAAGGGTTCCCAGCCTCCGTACCTGGAGAGGCAGAATGCGGCAACGAGGTAACCGAGCTCTGTGCGCTGATACTCATGCTACCTGGTATCCGCTTCTTCTTTAGCTTGTTCGGCTGCCGTTTGTCGTCGCTTACATGGATCGGGGATCGCTGGAACAGTTGCTCCAGCTTTTGCAAGTTTTGATGGTGGTGGTGCTTCGTTGGCGTCGAGTGGTCGTCTAACAATCTCTCTTGGCTCCGGCCAGGTGATAACAACCGATCAGGGGAAAGATGCATTTCATCAAAGGTCCTGTGTATCTCGTTTGGTGTGGAAGCTCTGTTAGGAACCTCCAGCTTAGTCTCCGGGAGAGGGTGAGCTGGTGTCAAGGGTTCTAACGCCGGCGAGTGCGGCGCGCGAGCAGGGCTCTCCGTCTTCTTGAATTTCCCCCCTACCAAAGCCGGTGACTTCTTGGATGGCACGGTGTTGCTCCTAGCTAAACCACCGCCAGTAGGCGTTGCTGCTAGGGCCGGGCTGTTGGGAGTGGCAGCGCCGTCGACCCTGGAATGTCTGGAGGAGACGGAGCGGTTCCGTCGAATCATGCCATCCTTCCGAACGCTCTCGGCGCCCGCACTGGCGTTGGAGGCTGTTCTCCCCAAGCCCGAACTTCGATCCGGGTTTGGTGTACGCGGTCCATTGGGAGGCCCGGAGGCCACCTGCTGCATCGTTGTCTCATCTGCCTCAGTGCCTTGCATACCAATAAGGAAATGGTCTTGGTTCTCAATGAGGAAGATGATGACGCATTGATTCAGCCGGTACTCCTCCGGGGCCATTGCATGAGAGGGGTGAGACAGCATGCCGGGCTGGAAAATGGCCGCCAGGTTCTGAGAGTTCATGCGGTTCTCATCGGATTTGGCGGCAAAGACGGCCAGCAGATCCAGGATGTAAAGAAGCAGCTGTTTGTTTAGCGGGGGCAATTCGGTAATTACCTTCTGATATTTGATAATGGCTCCCCTCTCGTCAAAGTTTTCAACGAATTGGGGACCATCTGTATCGCCAACTGCCTGCTTTGTAGCTCCTCGAAGGGGGTCGCGGAATTTCTCGTACAGGTCCAGAGGTACTACGGGCTCGGGCAAGTCGTTGAGATATCTTCGGAGCACCGTGGCAGCATCGTGGACGGTATATCCTTCCCAGACGAGTCCTTTGCCATATCGATCAGGCGAGTCAAATATCGTCTTGAGCTCTTTGATTCGTTTCTCGGACCCGTTTAGTCGGAAGATGCCTTCAACACCAGTAGCTGGTTTGGAGCGTTAGCAGCAGAAGAGAATTGGTTTCTGCTCTTCCAGCCGACGTACCTTTTTCTTTCAAGAAAACACCACATTTAGCGACGACAATGGGAACGTAGCCGTAAATGTAGCTTTTGCCATTCTCGTCAACAAGAGAGATGGCAACGTTGGCGTAGGTTATGCTCTGTCGGAGAGGAACTCCAAAAATGCCAGGGCCGCGGTTGTCTAAAATCCATGAGATTAGTTGAATATGCCAGTACGAGCAGAAAGACACATTGAGAATTTAATTTCCCCCCTTCTTCTTCTTCTTCTTTTCTCCCTCCTTTTGGGACGGGCAACCAAGGGATGGCGGGGATGAAAAGGCGAAGGAAGAGAGCAAACAAGAGCGAAGGATGTGCATCGCTTGACACGTCGCCTCTATAGCTGAGGCTATCCAACAAGTGTTTGTATTGCGACCAAAGTCCCCGGCATCAGCAGGCATATGCGGCACACAAAGGAACCAAGCAAATTGAAATCGATACCAGAAGACCTGAATAGCGACCAGAGCGTCCTAAGCGAAGCAAGGTGTCTGCGGATGAATGCACAGGGACCGGCGGGAGGGGAGGGTCTGGAGGTTGAGAGCGTACCCTGCGGAGACGATTCTTGGTGCTTGGTAGGCAGCTTGAAGTTCTTCCACCAGGACTTGAGATCGCGTTTGTTCGGCGGCGACGCGGGCGTGTTGGGCAGCGCAGGCTGCGGAGGCGGGCTGCCCTGGTGCGCATTCGGATTGCTAGACGTCATGGCAGGCGGCGGCGCGCGGAGGACCGGCGACTAGACAGAGGCAGCGCGGCCAGAGTCAAGATGCAACGGGCGGAGCGTCTCGACGAGGCCCCGGGTTGCCAGACGGAGGGGGGGCGCAATGAGCGATTCGGCTCCCGAATGAGAGCGAGCGAGGGGCAGCAAAAGCGAGTGCAGGGCAAGGCAAGCAACCTGGCAGCGCAAGCAGGTGTCGGATCGAGGCCCGCGAACGGAATGAGTGTCGACGATCTCTAGTCAGTCTTGCGCAATCGGAGCGGGAGGATGAGAGGATGAGAGGATGAGAGGATGCAAGAGCAGCGTCTCCAACGGTGAACTCTTGTCTCAATTCTGGGGCCTCGCAGCTATTCGCTTCGCCGAGCAGGGAGGCGGGCTGGAGAGCGGGCGATCCAAGGGTGAACTAGCGGCCAGGTGCCCCGACAGGATAGAGACATGAGGGAGGCGATTCCGGCGCTGAGGAGCTGAGGAGCGAGGAGCTGAGGAGGAGGAGAGGTGAGGATCAAGATACGGAGAGGAAGGAGGTGGCACGGCGTTTGGCTGTGGTGTTGCACTTTGTCGCTGTCTGAGGTTTTTGGTGGCGGGTGGCACAGCACAGCGCTGCCAGGCCGGTGTACCTCCCGGTAGCCCAGTCGTATTCTTGCAGCTCCAGGGCCAACGGTTCGTGGAGATGGCTGGAAGAGGGGGATGGCGCTCGGTACCGGTACATGGGCTGCAGGCACTCGTGTGGCGCGGGCTTAGCTGGGGCCACGCTGGAGCCAAGCTGGAGCGTGGGCCAGCGCGCTGATGACTGGCGGCGACAGCAGGCTTGGGTGAAACACAGGCGCCAAGGGACCGGTCTGGAGGGGGGACGAGGTACCGCTACCTGCAGGGCATTTGCTGCATGGCTGGCGGGAAACGGAGCTACAAGCAGGTACTTGCGCAGTGGCAGGTGCTTGCGCACAGCACTGTCAGTGCCCAAATCTACAGGGCACTTGTAGCAGCAGCAGCGGCATCTCGACCAGCCCCTCTACTCTACTCTACTCTGCTCTACACTACACTACAATCAAGCTAATACAGGACTGACATGCTCCAAAACAGCCAGGGGAAACAACGAGGCGGTGCACGGCCAAACGAGGGGTGAGATATGGCGAATGACGTTGGCGGCCAGCTTGGCTACTCTGGATGATCGGCGCCTGGATCTCCAACGGCTTGGGCCAGAGCTGCGCAAACAAGGCCACGATCCCTGCAAAAACGGGAGAGGGAGTGGCAGCTCTGGGCTCTGGACTGGAGGGGGGGCGAGCAGGAGCAGCAGACAAGACACGGCTGATGCGAATGGATGCTCCTCCTCAGCTGGGGGCCCGTGACGATGTCTCTGGATTCCAGGTTCCAACGGAGACGATGCGGGAAAAGGGCTAGTCGGCAGCATCATATCATCAGCTCCCAGCAAGCGAGGGGGATGACATGGATGTTATGCTGCAGCCTTGCGGATGGATGATGGCAAAGTCCTACTGCAAGCGCATTCTATCAAATCTTACTCGCGCTTCGTATAAGGCCAGTGCTTGTATGTACTTGTATACATACGTACAAGACGGAGCTTCGACAAGGCCTGGATTGATTAATACTACTCCATCTTGTGTCTTTTTTTAGCATAGCCCGTCCGTGCTAGGCGATTGCTGATCCAATCCGGCCATTCTCCATCAACCATGATGCGTCGAACAAGCATCTTTTTTTGCTCAATTAACTTTATTCCTGCATATACGCGTCAATTAGCACTATCAACGACTAGCCTCACCGCTGTGACTCTCTCGTATTTGTTTACTCTGACGCGACAGGCCCATCGTCGACTTCAAAAATAAATCATCGCGGCCAGGCTTATGCCAAGGCGCTCAACGATGCCGTTGTGGCTTGGGCAGGTCAAGGGGTCAGGCTGACTGGCGTCGTATCGAATATGCTTGCACAAGCAATACGTTGTGAACAAGGTTGCGGGGGGATATGGACATCGGCACGTACGAGTACTTGTAGTTATTCGCATCATCGTGAAGCCTCCGTCTTGTCAAAGCAGGCAAATGTTTCGTACAAGCAACGTAGAGTAAGCCCTTGCGCGTTGATTGCCCGCATTGTAAAGAGCATAGCAACCGAGCATAGCCACGCTGTCCCCGGCATTTCGAGGCTCATGATTACATCTACAGTCCAACATGTCAGGTAATACTACGGACTTTTTCATCATCTATTTTACCGTAGACTAGGGTAAAATCATATTCGGGTGCTAATACCGGCTAGGCATAGACTTGAAGCTATTCAGGTCTGAGATGCGCAAAGATGCTGCAGTTGCTTCGTTCAGAAACCTTACAAGCCAGCCATGCAGTCGGTGAGTCCAAGTTACGAGCAGCCAAAGTGGCCCTATCACGTCAATACAGGGCGGTATGGAAGTGTAGTAAACTAGACAAATTACAGCGACTACGTCAAGGGTCGTAATAAGATGCCATGACTTACCTTCTATTTGCTACGACATATTTACCTATAGTACATAATGAAGATACCCGGTTTGTTCCTTGAGTATTTACCAGGTACCCTCTTCTAGGTTGCTATATACATCTCGTATAGCTACCATGTATGTTCACCTCGTATATGTAGATACCTAGTAGCTATATTTCTCTACCTTATTACCTACCTGGGTAGGTATAGTACCTAGTATTGTCATATTCCTCTATTATCGATGTATTTCTCTACTATCGCTAGATTTCTCTACTATCACTATGTTCCTCCTTCTTCCAAAGATTTACGCATTCGAGCAAGAACCTCCTCAGATTCAATACGTAAGTTATTATCTTCTGGAAGTATCCTCCTTAGTATTGATGCAGCATCCTCTAGCAGGGGCAACGCTTTCTCCGGCTGGTCGTTCTCATAATATGCATGTGCAAGCTCACGCTGTATTAACAGCTCATCTGCGTTCTCATGCTTCATCATCAGATCCATTGTATCGTCTTTGAAACACTTATCTGCTATGACCGCCGCGCGTTCGAGTGTCCCAATTGCCTTTTCAATCTGTCCATTTTGGCGATACATCCTCCCCAAACATAGCTGCGATGTGACGTTATATGGGTGTTCTATGTGCCCCCACAGGGCCACCACGCGCTCTAGCATTAGAATTGCCTTGTCTTTGTGTCCGTACTTGTAGTATCGTATTGCCAGCTCGTGTTGTGCTATCAGGTGATTTGGATGGTCTTTGAAGTGCTTATCCCACATGGCCACCACGCGCTCTAGAATTGAAATCGCCTCATCAGTCCCTCCCCAGGTATGTAGGCTTGTCAACTCATGCGATACCAGGGGATCCTGGTGGTTTGTTCTCAGGGCTTTCTCTTCAATAGCCGTCAGTACTGATGTCGCTTTCTTGAATTGTTCCTCATCAACATATGCCATCACGAGGCTATGCCGTGATGTTACTGTTTCTAGGTGCTCTTCACCCAGGACCTTTTCATGCATAGGTACCACACATTCTAGGATCGATATCGCCTTTTTGATTCGTCCATCTTCACAATATGCTCTTGCAAGATCACGTTGAAGTAATAACCAAACTGGGTCGTCCTTTCGCATCCGGGAGTAAGCCACCAGGTATTCCAACAATGATATAGATTCACAGATTCTTCCTTCGTGCAGCAAGAATCTCCCCACCAGAGCGGCTAGAATTTGAGAGTATTCATTCTTAGAGCACAAAATGCCTTTTAAAATTTTCAGCGCATGCGGAAGATATGCCCTCTTTTCCTTGCTGCCCTCGTACTCAGTATACGGGAAGACTGAGGCGATATGTGCTAGGGCAAGATTCATATTCATATAGGTGGTGTGTGCAGATCTTTCCCTTGCCCATACAGTAGCGGCAATATGTACAAGTCTGTGCATGTCGTAAAAGTCTTCTTGGTGCAGGGTTAGAAATCCATAGCCGAGTAAAGTGCCTATAGCATGCAGAAACTCTTCCCGAGATTCCCCCTTGGGAAGCAGAGACCGCGGTATGCCTTTATATCCAATGAACGAGATGAATACCAACAATTTTGCCGCTGTTGGGTCCGTTTGAGTGATTTTGTCAAATGATGCCAACCATGTTTTAGCAATTGCATTCTGGGATCCTTGATATCGTGTCGAATCTTGAAAGTGCCGACCTAAGACACTAATTTGATCATGTGGAACGTCCCGCAGGAGGCCAAGAAACTCATGGATTGTGACTTGATTGACATTTATATATGCCGCTGCTTGAGCAATGGCCAGTGGCATCCTTTCGAGAAACTCAAGCAATGACCTGATGGCTTCATCAGCGTTAATAAAGTCTTTCTTAAGCAACGACTTTCGGAAAAAGGTTTCTGCTTCATTTATGTCCATTTTTGACAGGGTCACGACATTAGTTTCAGCAAAGCCAACAGCTACTCGACGATCGCGAGTAGTAGTTAAGATGCAGCCCAAGTCGCTTCGAGGTAGATGTTGTAACAGGCCTCCAGGCGCTGAACTGTGTCCGAATATGAGGTCATGATCATCTGCATTGTCCAAGATGAGAAGCCATCTTCCTGCCGCTTTTGTGCTAAAATAGTCCTTGACAATCTTCTTATCATCTCTCTCCATTCCTCTTGGCCGAGGTATGTGTCTCGCGATATCAGCACAGGCTTGTTCGAATGTCGCCATACTTAGAGCTGGAATCCAGAGGACTGAACATTCGTTTCCATTTTCATCACGCAATACCTCTTTCATCAAGTATGCAAGTTGTAAGCCCACTTGCGTTTTGCCGATGCCACCCAATCCCACCAGTGCTGCCCGGCTGAAGTTTTGTTTATGAAACAACATTTCTTTAAGCTCTTTCAAGACATCATGTCTGCCGACGAAGCGCTCGTTCTTGAGCAATGGGATAACGCAAATGGTTGAATGTGTGTCATCTTCTCTGGCACGTTTGTGGCCTCTAGAATTCTCTTTTAGAATTGGATCAGTTTGGTGGTACCGCTCCAATAGCGATTTGCACGCAGATGCGGCCGTTGCGGCCGCGAATGGCTGCCACGCCTTGGATTTGTGTGAATCGGCGTAATCGCAAACACTCTTAATGACGATATATGGCAATTCGTTGTAAAACCCAGCAGCCTCCATTTCGAATCCAATAACCTGGAGTTCTTGACTCAGCGTATCACGATCTTTTGCGGATTTTAAGACCATATCAGCTGACGCAAGACGCCCAAAGTGAATTGTTGGGCGCTGAGCTTCATTGATCATGTCTGGTCCCAGCATTTGCTTTGCGGTTATCCTTTGTCTTGGGATGGTGCAGCTTGTATCGCAATCCGTCTCAACGCATGAGGCCTTGATAGCTTCTTCACATACTGGATCTGAATCGTTAAAACAGCCACGACAAATACATGGTGAACGCTGATGATGTTTGTGGCGATATTCTGAAGCAAAAAGTTTGTCCTCCACTGCTCCGGGATAAGCATATTTGACCTTTGTGCAGCTACTAGCTACTTCCTGAAAGTGTTGCAGATGGAGACTTATTCGATCTTCAAGAAGCCGCGTGCCTCGGTCTGTCTTTAGGAAATTCAATAATCCACGGATACCCCTGTTGAAATTGCTTGCGCCGTATCCAAAGCTTTCCGAACGTTGAAATCCATCTGGATACTGTTTGCCGTAGTCGTAGGGTTTGACTTCATCGCCAATGATCACATCACCTAGTAGAATTTCTTCCCCCCGTGGGCCGGAAGGGAATGGGACTCCGCCGCAGATTCCAACAAGCAGGAGCAGTTGAATGGCGGTGAAGCTCATTCGCATATTTGCGACTGCAGTGGCGGCGCTGGTCTTGCCCATGCTGGCAAGGAGAATAATGACAACATTATGATTGCTGATGTGACCCGTTGTGTAAATGTTCTGATCACCCTCTGCTCGTCTAAAGTCCTCGTCATCCCAGAACCCGTCAATTAGCAGGCACACGGCATCATATTCGATTTGCAGGGCGCAGACAATCGCTATTTCAAAATCGCTCCGCCGTATCGGTTTACTTGGGCCGCTATCTGACATTATGCTGAGGAGCAGAAAGTAGCGATACTACATCTGTAAACGATTATGATGTGATTGAGTATGGTCTTTTATTGCTTGGGGCAGCCTTTTGGCTTCGGCGAAGAGAGTGAGGCGCCATCCTGTTCCCATGTGAGGGGCTGCAGTATCATTGGTTGAAGAAAGGCAATATCAATGCAAGGCTTTGTTGGTGCATTGGATTTACTTTCCTCCAATCGTATTCCCTAGCCACTGTGAGCATTTGAGGGCGTATATGTGAATGACGGCAGAGGGGGGATGCGAAAGTAAAGAAAAAAATCTCATGAGTTGTAAGTATATGTCTATATAAGAGCATATAATAATACCACAATCAAACCTCAGTCAGGCTTCGACAAGTTATCATCGAGATTATGTTGTTGAACGAGCGTAGGTACATGTAGCTGGGCTTGTGGATCAACGGTGATGAATCTCGCACTGTACGACCACCCAGCCCACCAAGCAGCAACTAGGCAGATCGGTAGTCCGTGCGAATAATAGCCTTCGCACACCCGATCCAATGTGGGGTGGAACATCTTGAATGCGGAATACTTTCAAAATTTCCATCGTCATCAGTCCAAGAGCTCGTCCAGCCAAACAATCTTTATCCTCACACCACTCCCACCACTCCCAAACACCGCCAAAATGGATATGTACAGCTCCCCTCAAACTCCTTACATCCATTACACCCGCAGACAACTAACTCTTCCTCCTCAATCCCAGGTTAACATCCGCCGAGCAGCGCACCCTCGAGCAGCGCATGCAAAAGCGTCAAGTCAAGGAATTCGTCGGCGTATGTCTCTCCCCTCTCTCCGTTCCTAACACTCGCGCACACAATACGATCCGAAAAGTATATAAGCAATTGTAATTAACGCAAACAACCCTCCCTACAGGCTTTCGGCGGCCTTACCGAGCACTGCTTCGTCTCCTGCGTCGACGACTTCACCTCAAAGTCCCTCTCCTCCAAGGAAACCGGCTGCCTCAACCGCTGCGTTCTCAAGTGGATGGCCACGCAACGCCGGGTTAGCGAGCGCTTCCAGGAGCACAACGCCCAGATCACGCAGCAGATGCAGAAATAAACCAACAAACACTCTACACAAACAAAAAATTATAAAAACAACTCTGTTCCACGACAAATCTTTGCTATCGATGACGGGATCGACGGAGGGGGTTCATTTCTCCCCCCCAGGCGTCACAGCGTCTCTTGAGTGGGAGGAAATCTCCGAGTTCCGAGGCCTTGTATGATACAAAGCGTTTTGGTGGGAAAAGACAAGAAAAAAGAAAAACGAAAAAACCAGCCGGGATGTTATCGCTTGGACAAGCAATTTTTGGCTCATGGAGATGGAGTCAACTGTATCATTATTACGGGATATGAAGGAGTAGTTGGGAGTGAGGGCAGGGTGTTCTGGTCATGTCTCACTGTTGGGAACCATCAACCGATATACACCAGGTGGTATATAAAATCTTGCTCAATGGGAATTAAGTTTAGATGCTCGAGTTCATAACCGAAACAACCCTGTATCCACGGGAGGACTTGTATGTTACATCTGATGCAGTAGTAGCCCAACGTCCAACGCCTAATCCTGAAATTCATTACCATCCCCATCTTTCTCTAGTTGCGTTACTCGAACAGCAAATCCGACCTTTATTCATTTCAACCTTCAAATTCATCGCTGAGCACGTCCCGTACCGTCTCTAGCTGTACCACCACCTTCTCCTCCAGCAAATTATCACAATCCCCTGCCAATTTTCTTCCTCTCCATTCCATCTCTCGCTGCCCCAGAGGCAGTAGCCGCTCTTTCAAAAGACGTCTGCTGGAGAGCCAGTAGTCTACATTCTCAAGAAGCCCCGTCGCATCCCATTCGACCGCGGGGATGTCTCTGCTATTGTTCATCCGAAGAGCCGCAAGCACACGCGTGAGGAGTGCCAAAGAGTGAATCTCCGAGGTGCCAAGAAGCGTTAGGTACTGCGTAGATTTTTCTTTGGTTCGACTGGCCCCAGGCGCTTCAAATCGTTCCACGCTGGCTTGCAACAGATGCGGGAATTGGTTCAGAACATATGTGATTTCCGGGGCAACTGTTGCTCCAAGAGCAGTCAGCAGATTCAGCATGAGTGGAAGCATCCCTTTAACCCATATCCCGTAGCACCGCTGTGCAATTGGCGCATCCGCATACGGTGAGACGTTGGTCCTTAGCATAAATTTGGTGAGGTTGGCAGACAGGATAGCACCTAGGACTCCGTCACATGCAAGCTGCTCTGCCAACAACGGAAGAGTTGAGAGCTCCAGTAAGAACAAGATGCTGAGCTCGCCATAGACGGGATCGCCATGATCACCGAGCTTGTCAGCCCATGAATACAGTGACGTTGCTGCATGCGTGGCGTCGTGTGTTGCAATGATGTTCAATATTTGAGTCTGAGATTGTTCAATATTGGGAACGCTTAGGCAAGCCTGCATGATTGCCGTAAGGAGAGCAAGATCCTCTGGGAAGACGTCTGTCTCCTTATCATGGATCAAGCTAACCAACGCCCGGAATCCCTGTGCTACCACGGTGTCTAGTATGTTGAGAATGGTTTGTGTGACAGTCACCATAGATCCCTCAAGATCTGCCTGTGAACTCGCCGCCAGCTTGCTAGATGCCGCTTGATATGCCCGCAGCGTGACAAATAGCGCCTTCAGGAGGGTGCGGTAATAGGCAAGAGACTGGGATTCAAAGGGTTCATCAACACTATTGATCGTGCCAACCAAAGTCTCCAGTAGCTGATTGATATCAGGAATCGCAAGAGTGGACTTGGCCAAACGCTGAACCAGAATGAGAGCCAGGTCGGCTCTTGCGTCGACGATTTTGAGGAAGATGCTCTCGGGACCAGGGGTCAACTGATTGGCATTCAGACACTGCTGGGCAACTTGCATCATGTGCTTTTTGGTAGCATCGCTCTCAGGGAAACATGTGCTTAATTCAAGCAACAAAAGTTCCCATGCATGGAAGAGAGCCTTGAAAAGTTAGCAACACGCTTGCATGCATAGAATCAGAAAAAGTAGCACTTACGATTTGGGCATCGACCAAAGACAGGTTGGTGTTTGCCAGCTTCATCTCGTTCAGGAATCCAGCCCCCTTCTTTCCTTGCCATCCAGGGTCAAATCGCAAAATTTCATCGGCACGATCCAAGTCATAGTAATAATTCTCGCCCAACTCCCTTGGACTCAGCATGGTACGCTTGAAGTTGTCCAAAGGGCATCCGAAATATTTATTGGAAAAATTCTTTGCAAAGTTGTTGTGCAGAGACTTGTTGTAGCTTGCTACCTCAACACCGTCACGAAGGTAGTAGTCCAGGTCATTGGTTAGTCCCTTGGTGAATGTGTCTGCATTGCCCAGATGACGTGAATGGTAGAGCTGCATCGCGAATGTCTCCGCAATGTATGCAGCAATTCTCGCCTGATTGCTGGCTAGCACGACGTCTGACTTGATAGTTTGGTGAGAGGGCTTCAAACCACGCACATAGGCTCGCAGCCCATCCATGTAGGCTGTGTCTTTTTGGAGAGTAAACACCGTCCAAGGCCAGTAATTCTGCGCGGATGTAACGAAATCTAAAACCACGAGGGCTTCTCCAGTCTCTAGATCCTTCAAAATTTTGAGTTTAGATAATGCCGCTGCAAAAACAGAATCCGCAGACGTTTCATTCTTCTTAGCATCCTTCTTCATTGCCTCCCGTGGCGTTTGCCCCGTGAGAAGGCAGTTTGACATCCACTGTTGTCGATTTTTTAGTATCGACGAAAAGAATCTCCAAGTCGTCTTCACTTCTTCCGGCAGAGCAAAGGGTTGACCAATGGCTGCCAGAATGTGGAGGAAAGATTTGGAAATTTGCGGGCCGAGGTATCCTAGAAGAGAGGGTGGTTCGCTGGTGGACTGAGCGGCATTGATGACGAGCGCCTCCAGCAACGACAACGCTGGCCCACGGAAGTGATCTGATACTGCGCAAAGGCGGGCTGATAGCGTGGAAGTTTTGAATAGGTACGTCTCAACTAAAGTCGAAGGACGTTCAAGGTAATTTGCAACCCGCAGAAGAGTTGTTGAAAAGTCAAGCACTGACGTGACTTCGCTTCTCACGGCTTGGGTTCTATCGGGATATAGGGTTGAATCTGTTCTTGTGAGGGCAGATATGAATGAGAAAAGAAGAGGTTGGAATCGCAGGCTCCCACTCGATGGCGATAAGAAGCAGTCAATGATGTGGGATGCGGCAGGTCGAAGACAAGACGTGAGATTTTCAGACCTCGGAGAATCACCCATGCTATAGGTGTAAATGACAATCTTGTTGAGAATGGGAACGACTGTCTGCAGCAGCGATGTCCTACTGGTTTCTGAGTCAAACATCCACGTCGACGTGTTTTCGAACACATCAACAGACGTCTGTGCAATCGAGAAGCTAACGTTGGAGAGCACCTTCTCGGCAGTCCCAATCCAAGGATTCGATTCTGTCTGCTGACGACTCATGGGCTTGTTTTCAGCCCGACGTTGGACGGCGGAAGACATGACGGTGTCGATAAGTGAGGAAAACAGTGACAGCGAAGACGAGAGGAACTCAAATCTCTCTGAGACCAGGTCGAGGCTGCCCGTGATCTTGGTGAGTTTGCCGGCTCTTGATTCGGAATTCAACAGCTCTGTCCTTGCGAGGTATGACCAGACTCTGCTAGGCTGAACTTGTAGAACAGCATGCAAAAACTTGACACATGCAGTAAGAACGCTCACGGCCGTATCTTCAGTCATGGCCAGCTCATCCTGCATATAATAGTCCATCGTTTCGCACACAACTGTGATGATATCTTTCCCAGCACTAATGTGTACACTCGTCTCGGATAGCAGGTCGTTATCATAATGGAACAACACCTTGTTATCACGCTGCCTCGTTACCTTCAGCTGCTCCATCCGAAGTAGTGAGGCTAACAACGAAATAACTTCGGCTGTCTCTTCTGGTTGCAACATTCCCAGTTCGCAACGATAGCCTTCTTGGGAAAGGCTGATCTCCAATCGCCGTCCAAGCAACGACAAGGTTGAATGGGGGTATTCCATCAAGACAACACGGCCGGTATCTGTAATAAATCGTCCGTAGGTGCCCACAGGTATTCTGTAAGCGTCATCCTCAATGTACCTCCGGCTCCAAGAGGATGATAAAGAGATCAGAGGAACCTCCTCCAAAAGGCAGAAAGAGTTCGTGTTTTCATCTTCTTGAACCAGCTCGTATCCTTGAAACGTATCTGGTAGTGTAAATGTGATTGTAGGAGTCTTGCGTAGCAGCTCGAGAATTATGTCTGTCCTATCGTCCTGGGTCTGCTGTGATGCAGTACAGAGCATGCCACAGAGAGTGATGAAAGGAAGGAATTCGTAAGGATATCGATCAAGGGCTTGCTGGAAAAAGAAATCCATAGCCACATCATCCCGTAGCATAGATCCAAGGATGTCCTGGGCGATGGGCATATTCTCCGATGCGGATAACTCCCAGTAACCTCGGCCAGGAGAAAGAAGGGAGTGCAGACAGCTCACAGAGTCTGACTGATATCCAACAAACGGATACGAAACCTTCAATAGCTCTAGGAATACGACACGAAGGCGCGAGCTAATCAGGGGCGACATGCTGCCGCCCACAGATGGGCCCAGAGTTTGAGTCATGTTTGACATGATATCAAAGACCCTGCCTTGGGCTGTGGCGACCGCTGCAAGTTGCTCAACGACCTGCATATCCCTAGGGCTGGACGAGTTCTCAAGAAATCCATCAAATTTCGAAGACTCAATGGAGTAGATGCTCCCGGCTGAGTTTCGCCGAGTGGGTGTACGCATTACACTTCGGGTTTCGAATTTTTCACGGGCGCTTTGCTGTATCAAGTTGTCCCGCTTGTCGGTTCTGGTTTGGTAGGATACGTTGAGTCGGTGGAGAAGAAAGGACCATGTGAAGATGACAGGGCAAGCAGTCTCAGAGTCTAGGCCGGCCGCGTCCAGGATGCTCTTATGAACCTGCTCTAGGACATCTGGTGAAAGCAAATACGAGTCATACACATCGTCAGCTTGTGCTGGGTCCTCGTCTCGATCAGATAGATATGCGAGTGCCCGTGCTGGCTTGAGCAGGCCAATAGAGATGGCTGAAGACAGGGCCTTCATCGGCATAATCAATTCAGCAGTGGATTGGTTGATCTGTTTTGTGGTTAGCGAATACAGAGTGGCGGGGGGCTAGAAAGCACATACTGGCTGTATTGAATCGAAGAAGCCATAGATTTCCATCAATGAAAACCACTGGTTAATAGCGGAGGACGGAGGGAAATCGCTACCATAGCAGTCCACCAGCTGGAGGACCACAGACAAGCTGTGAACGATCTCGGTCAAGAGGCTACGTAGCCATTCTATTTCCACTTCATCGTTGAGCAGCAAGGCATCATCCGTGAATGATCTCATACCAGCCTCGATCCCGCTCATGCAGCTGGACACGACATCCAAGTAGGCCGGTAGCATCGCCTCCATCTCATCACGCGGTTGAGCGGACATCTTCAACTTGTATAGATCGGCAATGCTATCGTCTCCAGGAGCGAAAATGGGCAAACGCTGATACAGCTTGATGGACGTGGCATAATCCGCAGCCATGATAAAGAAGCGACGTTCCGTCAAAAAGGTATCAAACAAGCGACGCCTCCTCGCATCCTGCTTGTCGAACTCTGCTGATATCTCATCGGCATCCAACGCGGCCGATGCTCCCAAATCCGATAAAAATGCTGCTCCTTGGCCATTTTGTAAACCCGCAGCCTCTTGAAGATTGGCGGCATCATGGGATGACAGAGGGCCCAAAAGATGGCTTGAAGAACGGGATTGGTACTCGATGATGACGACCCGTAGAGCGGCCACCAGGTTGACTTTTGCGTTGTTGCTAAGCCATTTCGCATCATCCTTGAATTGGTTTATATCGTATCGCTCAGTCGAGGCCGAGGTGACGTTAATTGGTGCGATCTTGGTCTCGAAGCTCTTGCTCGTAGCCTCGTCAGGCGGCGCAAACGCGGTCGAGGGTTCGCTTAGAAGTCCGCGGACATAGTCGTCGTCGAAGAATTTGGTGATGGCAGAGCTCGTCTGCCGTTTTCCAGTGCCATCCGAAAGAGCTGTGGCGACCAGCTTCCAAGGCCTTGATGATGTGATTAGTTGTGTCCGCCGTCGTTAAAATGCATGCGACCTGTACTCACAGAAGCACTTTCTCCCCAGAGAGGCACTGTCCCACGGAGGGAAAATAATTGCTGTCCGACACCGGCGCCATTGCCACGAATGTCAATAAGGCGGCAGAGACGCTCGCCGCATCACCTTGAGCCTGTTGGTGCGAGGGCGTTGAAAATCCACGTCTGACGCGCTTTTGGCAGAAACTTGGGGACTAGATTCTAGACGGTAGCATCAACAACAGCTGCATGTTGACTTTTTTGGTGAAGCTCCCAGGAACCCGAAGTTGAGCCGTTGGCCAGGCCTTACAGTGTGGATATTCAGCAGTGGTGATTAATCCGTACTGTACGGGGTAAAGTAGTATGTACAAAGTTACATGTCAGGATCGGCGCTTTATCGGCACTTGGGCAGAGAGAGGCACTACCAGGTGGCATAGAAATGCCCAAAGTTAGTAGCGCCACAAGAAATTCTTGGTGTTAGTGAAGCTGACTCATACATATCAAGAGAATCGCAGAGCAGTGGCATTCTCATTCTTCTCACCTCGAGGGCGAAACTTTCTTTCTTCTGCTGACTGCGTTTCCCATATTATTTTCTCCTCATCGCCGTGTCTGCGGCTTTTTCAAGATGCCTTCGCTCGATATTATCGATCACTCGCCGCATCAGCCGGATCCGTCCCCTCCAGTGGCCACAGCTTCCAACCTCATCCTCATTGACAACTACGACTCATTTACCTGGAACATCTACCAGTACCTCGTTCTTGAGGGTGCCACAGTCCACGTGTTCCGAAATGACAAGATCACTGTGGATGAGCTGATCAAGCTTAACCCAACTCAGCTCATCATCAGCCCCGGTCCCGGTCATCCCCAGACTGATTCTGGTGTCAGTCGAGATGCAATTCGTCACTTTGCCGGCAAGATCCCGGTCCTGGGGGTCTGCATGGGCTTGTGAGTTTCTTATAACCATTGCCTGAATTATAACCATTCATGTTACTTACAATTGTGAACAGGCAGTGTATGTTTGACGTCTATGGCGGCGAAGTCTCTTCCGCTGGAGAGTGGCTACACGGAAAGACTTCTCCATTGACCCACGATGCCAAAGGCGTCTTTGCCAGTTTGACTCAAGGCCTTCCTGTAACCCGGTACCACTCCCTTGCTGGCACTCATCTCACTCTGCCTGAGTGCCTTGAAGTGACTGCTTGGGTGGCTAAGCCAGATGGCTCGGCTGGCATCATCCAGGGAGTTCGTCACAAGAAGTATGTAGTTGAGGGCGTGCAGTTTCACCCGGAGAGTATCCTCACTGCCGAGGGCCGTGTCATGATTAGAAACTTCCTCCACATGCAGGGCGGTACCTGGGAAGAGAATGCACGACTTCAAAAGGCCACGTCAGCGACAAGCGCCAGCTCTGCTGCGCCTAAGCCGCAGAAGAACAACATCCTCCAGACTATCTATGCCAACCGAAAGGCTGCTGTAGCTAAGCAGAAGGAGATTCCATCTCAGCGAATGAGCGACCTTCAAGCCGCATACGACCTTAATGCTGCTCCCCCCCTAGTACCATTCGTTAGCCGGCTAAAGCAGTCCCCTTTTGACGTGGCCCTCATGGCAGAGATTAAGCGCGGCTCCCCATCCAAGGGCATCTTCGCGCTAGAAGTTCAGGCTCCTGTTCAGGCACGTAAATATGCGCTCGCTGGTGCGAGCGTGATATCTGTCCTGACAGAACCCGAGTGGTTCAAGGGCAGCATTGAAGATTTGAGAGCTGTCCGCCAGGTTTTGGATGGCATGCCAAACAGACCAGCAATCCTTCGGAAAGAGTTCATCTTTGAGGAGTACCAAATTCTTGAGGCGAGGCTAGCTGGAGCAGACACAGTATTGTTGATCGTCAAGATGCTCGAGGTCGAACTACTAGAGCGCTTGTACAAGTACTCACTATCCCTCGGGATGGAGCCCCTGGTGGAAGTTCAAAACGCAGACGAAATGACGATAGCAGTTAAGCTTGGTGCCAAGGTGATTGGTGTCAACAACCGAAACCTCGAGACATTTGAGGTTGACATCAACACAACGGGTCGGCTGCGAAGCATGGTACCCGACACTACCATCATTTGCGCATTGAGCGGTATCAACAAGCATCAAGACGTGCTTGACTGCAAGAGAGATGGAATCAATGCTGTCCTTGTAGGCGAGGCCATTATGAAAGCCCCAGATGCGACAACCTTCATCAGTGAACTGTGCTCCGGAAGCAAACCGGCTCCCAAAAACAACTCGCCCGAGAAACTGCACGTCAAAATCTGCGGCGTACGAACAGCTGAGGCCGCGTTAGAAGCAGTCAAGGCGGGTGCAGACTTCATCGGCGTCAACTTTGTCCCCGGAGCGAAGCGAGCTGCTACCCACGAAGCTGCCCTGGCCATTTCAGAGGCGGTTCATTCATCCTCCAAGTCGTCAGAAACCCCTGGCATATTGTCAATTGCCGCATCAGGTGCTACAGATTTCTTTTCTCTCACATCAAGAAATCTCAAGACCTCACGTACACAGGTAGTGGGCATCTTCCAGAATCAACCCCTGAGCGAAGTTTTGGAAAAGCAGAGGCTTTACAACCTAGACCTTGTTCAACTTCACGGCGAGGAACCGATTGAATGGGCCAAGGCGATTCCCGTGCCAGTCATCCGCTGCTTCAAGCCCAACCACCCTGCTGTCGGTCTCCGAGGATACCACGTTGTTCCTCTCTTGGACTCTGGCGCTGGGTCCGGAAAGCTGTTGGATGTTTCAAGTGTAAAGGAGGTGCTTCAAAAAGACCCAGACCTGAGAATCTTCCTGGCTGGAGGACTCAACCCTGAAAACGTTGCAGAAGCTGTCAACGCCCTGGGAGAGTTCAGCAGCCAGGTAATTGGAGTGGATGTAAGCAGCGGTGTTGAGGAGGATGGTAAACAAAGCTTGGCCAAAATCAACGCCTTTGTCAATGCTGGGAAAGCAATTAGGTAGATGGGCAATAAACGAGAGATGCCGATGGTTTCACCATGAGATATGGATAGATAGATCCAGAGGTAGAATTTAACTTGCCAACTCAATGTAGTCTTTTGCCATCTACTACATCAGTATTGATACGTTATCTAGAACCATTTTGTGCCTGCCTATCACTTAATCCAAGTAACTTCCAGCCTGTTCGAGGAGACTGTTGTCGATGCCGCGGCTGATTCCGGTGGCATCTGTCCACTCACCACCAGGCAGCTCCAACCTCGTGTGTAAGTTGTCTTGAGCCCATTAACAACCACACCACCAACACCGCTTCGTAGTGCACCATACTCTTACAATTTTATCAACTATAGAACTTGATACCTCCAATCTATTTCAACTTACTACCTAGAACTTAATCTCTCAATACTCTACAACATCAACCATCCACCTCCAATATCTCTTCATCTTCCTTTCATTCCCCATCAGCCTCGTCTCTTCCTTCACCAACAACTCACAGCAATGCCCCGCCGAATATTCAAAAACCTCGTCATCGCCACGGCAGGTCCTCTACCCGGCCAACTAACCGTCGACAGCCTCCGTCAATGGACCACCATCCGCAAAGGCACCTTCACAGAAGAATTCGACGAGCAAGTTACGCATCTCCTCTGTACCCGAGAACAATTCGACAGAAAACTTCCAAGAAGTACCTTTTCTTCCCCCTTTTGTTTTTCTTGGCCCAATTTTCGCACTTTCTTTACATGTACTCTAATATCACTATCTCTAACTGAGTATACAGTCAAAGAGGCCCTTGCCCGCGGGAAGCGACAGCACATTGTCCACTGTGACTGGTTCGAAATCTCCGCCGTGAATGAAAAGAGACAGCCAGAGCGAGAATATTCTATGAGGAATATCCTCGCCAAGCAAAATGCGGCGAAGCGAGAACAAGCTCGGATTGAAAGAGGGAAGAGAGAAGGCGAGAGGGCCGTCAACACGAGTAAGATATGTACGCCTCTCTACGTCAACTTCCTCAGCTGATTGTGATATGACACAGACTTTTTCCATATTTACAGTGATCGAACGTTCTTCTCGTATCAGATTGATCTTAATCGCGATGACAATGAAACAGGCGAGTTGGGACAGCGCTACACCCTCTACGTAAGACATCACCAGCACACAAACTATCGTCGAATTACTCACTAACACAAAAGTCATTGCAGCTCTGGGAATCTAATGCAAAGCCCCATCTCTACTGGTTCACCGCAAAGTTCATGAAGAAGAAAGGAGACAGCCAGCCCAGCTTCCACCGCCCAAGCCCCTGCTCAGGCCCCTGGCGTCACGAAATGGATCTCTTCATGGAGTTTTTCCGCATCAAGACGGGGATTGAATGGCAGGATCGTGTGATTGGGCAGAAGACCATGCCGAGTTCTTTCTTTCAGTACTCGCCACCAGTAAGTTGATTTAGTTTCATATTTTTATTATTTATTACTTGAAGAGTAGTACTTTGTACGCGTCTAATTATACGATGGAGGCTAAAGGAAATGAGTATAGACAGGAGGAAAACCTGTTGGTCGCCGTCTTCGATTCTGTTACGAGTATTGTCTGGAAATCAACGCCCAGTTGAGAGGATTACCTTGGCCTCCAGTTGAGGATACTCAAGTCAAAGAGGAGACCGTAGCAACTGAACCGCAAAGCACCATCATCGATGTTGGAGATTGTGGAGGCGTTACTCACAATGATGGAGTTGTCGAAGCGGATTCCGAGATGTCTTCAGAAGCGGATGCCAACGTTAGTGTTGCAGAAATGGATACCTCGGGAGATGAAGGCGAAGCAGATGAACAGGCAGCATCTCAGGAGTCCGACGTTCTTGCAACCATGGATGTGGATGTGCCACTCGCACCATCTGAGTAACTCTTTAAGAAGAGAGGATACTCGGACTCTAGCTATACAAGAAAGTATGAGCTAATGTCAGATCTCACATAAGAGAAATGCTTGGCCATATCATTTTAATGTATACTCCAGATGGCCACAGGTATACGGAAGTCTTTGGGGGCAAAAAGATTTGCATGAAAAGCTAGTTTAGTCGCTTAGTATTACATCGAAACCAAGAAATATCAGCGCTTTCGCCTATGCTGTACAGTTATCGTAACAACCAATCCCGTCATGATACATCATTCAAACCCAGCCCTCTCAGAATCTCAGCTTTGGAAACACAAACACCAGCAATATCAACGACACCATCAATCCATACACCCACGCGTACAGCATCATCCTCCCCCACCAGCCCTTGCCTTCAGTCATCCTCTTGAGAGATCCCATCCGACCCTGCGCCGCCTCCATACTTTGCTCCGACTTCTCCATACTGGCCCCAGCGGAGCCAAGTATATTCTTATCCTCTTCAAGGGTTGCCGAGAAGCTCTTAGAGCTCTCTTTCAGAGCACTTGCCATCTTGAGAATAGAGTCCGAGATGGCATCCTGCTCTGCGCGCTGTTGGTCTAGGATGGCTTCTGCTGTGGCTGTCGAGGCTTGTGGACTGGCGGGTTTGCGGCGGTTGGCGAATAGTGCCGCACGAGCTGTGCTGTGGGCTGAGGGAGTCGGTGATGGGGCAGAGGGACGGGCGCGTAACGTTTGGGTCGTTTGTGTCGTTTGCGTAGGGAGGGCTTCGCTGGTACCAGTCTCGGTGGGTGCAGAAGTTGTAGTCGTCGCAGTCGTTGCAGGTGGCTCAGGAATGGGTTCAGCTTGTGTCGGGAGCTCAGGAGGCTCTGTATCTAGTATTTCATCTTTGAAGTAGCCTTCTCCTGCTGGCGCATTCGACGACCGTCTCGAATCCTGGCTCTCGCTCGGCGTTTGTATGATGTCTCCCAGAAGGTCTTCGCCTTCGGATGAGTCGTCTTCTTCCACAGCCACCTAGAATGACGTTAGCCCTGCTTTATGTATTCCCGGGAGAGGCCCTTGTATAAGTACTTTTCTTAGATCCTCCAGCCGGTCAAACAGCAGGTCCAGTGTTTCCTTCTGTGCTGTGAGATCGCCCTGCGTATCCGCCCTCCTTCCAGGTATCGTCTGCTCTAGCTTCGTAAGCGCCGCTCGCGCATATTGAAGGTTCTATGCCAAACAGTTAGCGACAGGAAACAGTCGCCACATCTTGTTCCAGTCTCACAGCCTCGACCCTCGTCCTCTCAAACTCGCTGTTGCGCAGCCTTCGTTCGCGTTCGGGGCTCGGATGCAGCACAGACTGCTTTAACCGGGAGAGGAGTTGCGCAAGCTCTACCGGAGATAGACTCGGCGATTCTCCAGCAGGTAGGTTGGGAAGTATTGCCATGGTCGTTGTGAGAATAACTTGTAGTGACTGGTGGTGGGTTTTGCGACAGGAAGATGATCTGTTACATGTAGAATTACGTCGCTGGCATGGCATATGTGGCTGAAGCTTCACAGTGCGCCACAGTTGACCACTTTAGGCAGTTTGCCGCCACTAAATGTCACTTGCAACGAATATGATCTGTATGGGAGGATAGAATCTTTGTAGTGTCTTGCTTTAAGGTCCAAGAATGTAATTAGAGTCCCTCAGCCAAGTAGCAGTTCTCCAAAGAAACATGGCAGAAATTTGCTTGATATCCTAAACAAGTCCTTGAGCATTATTCTGTCATCTCTCTCGCAAAGATACCAATTGCATGACTGAAAAGAAAAGGCTCTCGATAGATTCACCTTGCCATTAAACGCCAAAAACTCCAATGTTGCCCAACTAATGAGTCCCAAACCAGTAATGCCGTCCATTTCGGGTCATATTATCAACCAGAAGGCACGTCTCGTGCCCAACACCAGATGCCAAATCCCGCTGATGCAACTCTCATTCATAATAGAAGAAAACACAATCCACCATCCCGACTAACAACGTCGCAATCTCCTTTCCCAGGTGCATGAGGCCCATCCTCCACTATAAATCGCCAGGCAGGCAGGAGGATTTGAGAGGTTGTGAGGACTGGCATACGGCATTCAGTCCGTTTCTGCAAGGGTCAAATCCGTCGTCTCGAGGCAATCCGCCGCTTGGTCGCCTAACGCCGGCGGTGGATCGACAGATAAAGCCCAGCATATCGCTTTCTCAAATCAAAAAGTGATGGCTAGCGCCGGGTGGGCAAATCAGTCCTTCTCCTCCTCTTCCTTCTTTGCCAGTGCCTCCTGCAATCTCTCCTCTTGTTTCTTCCAGTGTCCTCCCTCCTCATAGTCAGAGCTAATCTTCAGGGCTCTCCTGAGACGCTCACTCTCTTTGATCTTCGCGTCGGCCATCTCGTGCACTTGATGCTCTTTGAAAGCCCTCCTCGGTGCGTTGGCCTTATTTTTTGAATTCATCTCTGCAAGTAGTTTCTTTCGTAGTTCGTCGCAACGGCGATCAATCTCCTCTTCATCAACCCTATCAGATGGTTATGATCGCTGCCACGTGCATGTTCATCCAGGAAATCACTTACTCTTCTTCCTCAAGCTGGTCTCTCAAGTCGAATACTTTGACCTCGATCTCTCTCTTTCGGTCGTGCTCGAGAATTGCCTTGTCCGGTTGTCGCTGCCTGTGTCGCATGCTGTCTCGATCTTTGGGATACGGCGCGCCGTAATCACGCGGCCTGACCTGGGCGAGGTTCCGCTGGACGTAGCCGGAGGTTCCACTGCCTCGTGGCGTCGAGAGGCCGACATTATCAGACATGTTTCCTGCGTATTCGTAACGTTATAATGATAGCTTGCTGTTGAAGCTTGGGAATTGCGTCGCGTCAAGGTTCAAATTTCAAGGTTCTTTGCCGAAGCTGCAGGCAACTGTCATCATTAGCGGCTCTAGCGTCCATACTGCTGGGAAGTCCACTGCGGCTAGCAGCCCGAGGCGCTACGAATGGAGAATAGCGCTAGGCGGTGAAAGCTTCCCGCTGATAAAAGTGAAAAGTCGCGGCAGAACTCGATAACGGAGGGGCAAATTGTGCCCCTCTGCCATTTTCTTACCCTGCATTATTAAGTGCAGGATATCACCATATGAGTCAACCTCTTGATTAAATCCATTTAGCCTGTCTACATAGCCTTATAGACATTTTATCTATTAGCATCTTCCCTCCCAGCTCTCTCTCAGAACGCTCAGTCCTCTGTACTGGACATTTTTTTTGTCAAGATGCCACACCTCCCTGAGAGCCTCCCCAGAGACGGCGAGACGCCAGTCGTCTTTCCACCTATCACCAGGGACCATATCCAAAATTGTTCATACGAAGCATGGTTCCCTAAATACCGGAGCTCATGCCTAAAGTCGCGGATAATCCCTCTATCGCCAGCGTTTATATCATATCTCCATGAAGACGGCATCATCCTCGCAGACGACGACGAGGCCAATGAGCCAGAGGAGGCAGAATGGTCAAGCTCTGCCGCTACTCACCCCCGAATCTCTCCATACGACTCTTCCGACGATGAGGACGAGGAAGAGGAGGAAATACTTCCACCAAACAAGCGCTTCCCGGAGATACACGAACTAATTAAACAAAAAATTGCCGAACTGGGCGGCTCTGTTGCGCCAAAGCTTAACTGGTCTTCTCCAAAGGATGCCAAATGGATATCACCGCACCAAAACACTCTCAAATGCACAACCCCAAACGACATTTATCTTCTCTTGAAGTCGTCTTCTTTCATCTCGCATGATCTTCTTCATGCATTCGATGACTGCACAGATGCTCCGCCAATGAGACCGTTTACGCCGGTTCTTGTCCTTCGACCGTTCTTCACGCCTCATGTTGCATTGGAATTCAGGTGTTTCGTCAAGCACCGATCGCTCATTGGAATAACACAACGGGATCTCAATCACTATGATTTCCTGGAAAGGCTTCAGGGACAGCTGTGGAAGAAAATTAGGACCTTCTTCCGACAGAAGCTGAGACTGACGTTTCCCGACTCTTCCTTTGTTTTTGACATTTATGTACCCGGAAACACCTTTGCTGAGGATGGGCTTGGAAAGGTGAGACTCATGGACATCAACCCATGGGCCCCAAGCACGGACAGCCTGCTGTTCTCGTGGGAGGAGCTTATCACTATGGAAGTTGAGAATCCCTTGTACGGATCTGTTTCTGAGGACCAGACGGCAGATGGAAGTGGAGGGGAGACAACGGCAGATGAGACGGATGACGATGCAGGTGCCGAGTATAGCCCAGACCGGCAGCCAGAAGTCCGCATCGTCAGGAAGAACGACCCAGAGGCATACAACTTTAGCTCACCACAATACTCTGCTCACAAGCTGCCTAAGGAGGTTGTCGATGCCAGTCTTGCAGGAGAAGGGGGCCTGCGAGAGTTTGCGCAGCGATGGAAGGAGATTACTGAGGGCCGCGGCCAGGGAATCTGGGAACAGCCTAGCAACATCAATGCTAGCACGTGAGACAAAAATAAACAATCAATGCTATAGAATAACAAGCGAGGCTCAATATGCCGGTCAGCAAAAAGTGAACTGAATCTGAAGCATGGTGCTGGCAGAGTCTCAACACGGTGCGAGATCCCGACAACCTCTATAGAGGATGAAGCTTGTCTGCACTGTACACATCTGCCTAAAATGGCCCAAGCGCTCTCTCTCGTGTTGCCGGGTTTCTACAGCTGCACCCAGCTGTTGCCGCTCCAACCCAAGATCCATCACCATCACCATCTCACTTACACGCTCATCAGAGCTTCTGGCTCGGGGAATCTCAGCTGTTGGGCATCGAATTCCTCAATCCTCTTGCAATTGCCATCATGCCCACTCGACCGCGCCCAAATAAAGTGACGAAGCCCGCGCCAGGCTCTGGTGCTCGTAGAGGCAGCCGTCAATCATCTCTATCTGCTGCAGCCCAGGAACAGCTCGAGCAATACGCCAAAGAAGCCGCAAACTCGACTGTCAACCACGACTCCACGACGCTTGATGATGCTATTCCAGAGCGTGACACCATTGAAGAGAGTCCGATAGAGGCCGGCGATAAGTTCACAGCCATCAATATGCTCGCCAATGGAGGTGCAATGACGCCTCTTCACTCGTCGCTCAGCGCTCTTCGCTCAGCCGACGACTTTCAGCTTGACCACCAGATGCCTGATCATTCATCGCCTGAGGATCCGGCGGCTCGAACTGCAGCAGACCTGGCCTACGCGGCCTACGGAGACCAGGTTAAGATCGACAGCGCGCTGTGCAAGAAGCTCGCCGCTGAAGTTGCGCTGCGAGAGCCCACTCAGCGCCGCGTCGACCAGAAGCTTAACATTGAACGTCGAAGCAACGTTGAGGCTTTGCTCGCTCACATGACGGGACAGACTGCCCCAAAACCGTGCAAGAACTGCCACAAGGGCCATGGACCCTGGACCCAGTGCGTTGTGTATGACGGCCAGATGTGTGGAAGCTGTACGAACTGCTGGTTCAACGCAAGTGGCTCAAGATGCACGTTTCATGGTCAGTTGCAATTTCATCTCCATCATTTGCACAGCAGGTTGGCTGTTGGCAGCCGTTTTCTTTCGTCTCTTCTTCTTTCTTTTCTTTTTCGAACCAACCATCCTGACCCAACACATCAGCTTGATCACATCAGATGAATATCCAATGCTAATTATCCTGCAGAGAACAACCATCCGCAGCCGCAGACCTTGTTCGCAGCCTCTGTCGCTGCTTCGGCAAATCTCATGTCTTTTCAACAACCTGCCCTCTCGCAGTCCACGTCGCCCAACGCGAATCTCAATCTCTCCGCAGACATCACGCACTGGGGCCTGTCTGAGTCGACCAAGCAGTTGATTACCCAGACAATCACTGACGTAGCCACCTTCTCCCGAAGGGACCGTTTTCTTGCGCGAATCGAGGCCGCTGCTAAGGAGCTCGGCATGCGAATCGCAGAATACGAGGAGTTTCTGAGGACTCCCGAGGGCATGGCGGAGCAGAATGCTGCCTTGGAGAGGGAGCGGGCGCAGAATAGTCACACTCAGGCTACTGAGGCTTCGATGGCTGATGCTCCTCCTGACGAAGTCCTGGGTTGAGCTCTTGTTGGCTACCTTTGCCGATGCCATTATCTGCTACATCTAAGCATGGCAGCGGTATCGAAGAGAGAGAAGAAAGGGCAGAAACGAAGACAATAATACCGTCATATGTCAGGAAAGCCCCTTGGGCTGCTCAGCCTTGGCCAGCGCTTTGTCAATCAGAACAAGGTATGTATGTGGCCGCGAGTTTACTGCTTTTTTCCGAATACTGACTTTGGCAAGATCACTCTATTAACTACAGATATTTTTCCACGCTCCGTCTAGCTTTAAGGCTGGCTATCGAAGAGCTATAAGAAGCGACACGCATCAAGCAAATTTGCCCGCTTCATACCAGCCTTCTTCATCCGATGAACAAAAGCCATTTTCTGGATGTTTTATTGTTTCGGTATCACACATTGGGAGAGACATTGGAAAATTTACAATCCGACATCTTTCATAATTTCGACGTCATATGCACCTTGACCTTGAGCGCATACCACTTGATCACGGGCTTGCGCTACTATTTGTTTTCCCATCTTCTTTTTTTCTCTTTCATATTTGGTACATACTGGACACTGGGCATTTTCACATTTTGCTGACGAACTAATGAACTTTGGCCATGAGTTACGCATACAGGGAGATATTGAGAAATTGATTGCTATTTCAGAGGATATATACCCCCTTTTAGTTTTGCTAGTTTGATACTTATAGGACGAACAATACCCATTTGGCTTTTCGTTATATTGGTTCTGAAGAATGCTCTGGTGATACACGAATCGTGCGAATCAAAGTAGTGGCTTGACATTGACGGTTCACATAACCTAGTACACGACAGTTACGGTCTTACGTATCACCAGGAAAGCCATTACTAAGATATCAAAAGCCACAAAATCACGTAGGAGAAAAACGCAACATTGAAGACACTCATGACCATTACATAAAATACTTGAATTTTACAACCAGCCTCCATGCTATAATTCTCCCACACCAAAGCAAAAAAGAAGTCGTACTGCTCCCCCGCCCACTACCATGCCCAAGTCCGTTTCCCTCCTCGACTCGCCTCGCAAAAAAAAAAAAAAAGAAAAAAGAAAGAAAAGAAGAAAATAAAAGTAGCAAAGAGATAGACAGAGAGAACGGGGAAAAAAGAAAAGGGAAAGACGCGCAAACGATATGAAACAAATATTCCTTTACGCATGAATTCAGATTCAGAAATAAGAAAACAAAACAAGAATGAATAACAGGAAGACAATAAATAAAAGAAAAAAAAGAAATGTTCAGAGGGCGGCGAAACATTAGAGAAAAGAGTAAGAGATGGAAAAAAAAATGAATATGCGAGTACAGAAAACTGGAAGCTGGAATATATGACGATACACACTTTTTTTTATGAAGAGACAGGCCGAGAGAAAAAAAAATGTGGTTTCATAATTAAACAAAGTAAATGGCCGCCGCCCATTCGCACAATCGTGTCAGATGTAAGTAATTTCCCTTCTTCCCATGAGCTGCCACGCCGTTCCCCTCCCTTGACGGCCTCCTTCTTTCACGACGTTGGCCACATCCTCTTCTTTGAAATTAAAAGAAGATTTCATTTTGATACACAGCATCTCCCGACAATCCTTGTAATAGCTCTCACAAGTCTTGTAAATGCCGAATGTTCGCCATAGAGTCTTAGCTTTAGAAAAAAAAGTACCATTATCTAGGACAGTCAAAGATTGCGAAGGAGAAGCCCGCAGAAAAAAAGAAGCTCCTTGAGCTGGCTGTCGTCTCGCTGGCGCAAGGAGTACAATCAAGATCATGAGCCGTATCTCCGTGGCCCATCTGGTGGCGGTCGTAATCGAGTTTGAGGGTATTCGTGCGTCTTAAAACAAAAATAGAAAATGAAAAGAGAAAGGACAAGTCGTCTAGATGAGACCGCATAAACGAAGGTTCTCCTGAATAATGATATCTAGAGCAAAAAGAGTTAGCTGTGATTGCAAGAAAAGAAAATCCCCTAGGGAGCATCTCATACCGTTGACTGCTGCCATGACAAAGCGGATCTGGGTGGTATCTGTGGCGCAAGTAAAGTGCGTGTAAATCTGCTTCGTCTCGTGCTGATTCAGGCTGACGAATCGGTTCAGGATGTAGTCACACGCGGCCGCATAATCATCACCACCCTCGTAATCGGGGAAGTAGTTCTTCATCGGGCTGACCGGCAGCTTCTCCTTGAATCTGTCGATCTTGTTGAGGAAGAGAATGATGGACGTCTTGATGAACCATCTGGAGTTGCAGATTGAGTCAAAGAGCGTCAGAGCTTCCTGCATTCGGTTGACGGTCTCATCTTCGAACAGCAGCTGGTCGTACTCGGAGATGGCGACCAGGAACAGAATGGTGGTGACGTTCTCGAAACAGTGAATCCACTTCTTTCGCTCAGATCGCTGGCCACCGACGTCGAACATTCGGTAGGTCAAATCACCAATGATAAATGTCGTCTCGGTGATACCGGTGGTCTTGACACGTGATCGGAGAACGTCCTGGTCGTTGGGCATGTAGTCGGGAGCGGCAATTCGCGCGATATTATCGAAGTAGCTAGTGACGGAGGTGAGCATGCGAAATGCAACTTCTGATGGCATGGGCCAAAAAAAAGAAAAGAGACGAGAACTTACTATCTGGCTGAATCGTTCAGCTGATATTCGCGAGATCGCTTGAAACACTCCTGCACACCGTGGTCCTTCCACAGAGCCTCGATGGCACCGCCAACTTCCGGGGGCAGGACATCGCCTTCGATCTGAGCAGGTTGGATGAAGATGGTCTGGACGTGGTACTCCATGCGCTGGTCCTCAAGGGGCAGCTCAAGAGACTCCATGGCCTCGAGAATGACGCGCATGGACTGGACGGTGTTGCTGAAAATGATTTCCTTGAACGACTCGCGTTCATCGCGAGAGTAGCCGCCCTCGTGGATCAGCTTCATCTGCTTGAGAATGGTTGACTTTCCAGATTCACCAGCACCTATCAATCCATTGTTAGTCGGGTGGTGAACTTGACATGCGTGGTAGAAAGAGTAGCAGATATTCTGCGTCAAACACAGTCAGATGGTGGTACATACCCAGAAGTAGCATCTTGATCTCGTTACGCTGCATCATCTTATCCCGCTTGAGCTGATTCTCAATCTCCTCGTTCCGGGCCTTGCCCTCCTTGTCCTCCGTAGACATTCCGCAACCCATCTTGGCGACTGTGGGGGATGGTGTGAATAGAATTCGTCTTGAAAAAGAAAATTATAATAAGATGAAAATGAATGATTCGCGTATGCTACGTGTCTAGAATCGCCACTGATGCCGACGTTGATACTGTAGGAGAGCAGATTCTGTTAGTCAGGGGTTCGTCGAAGAAAACACTGCCGCTTGCTGAGTCGCACGAGCAATCGCGCCGATGCACGCGATGAGGCGTCCAAGGCGAGAAGCTCTAAGAAGGAGAGGATTCGCGTCGTGCCGCTCACGAGATGGCTGATCGTCGAGAAGAACCGAAAAGCGCAGTCGCGGTCGATAGAAGCCCTATTGGCAGCGCAAAAAGGACAACTGGAAGCAAGGCTCCCTAAAGGAAAAATGGACGACGAGCAAGAAAAAGGGAGAGAGATGCTTACTAGAACACGGCCTGCTAGGCGAGGATGAATGCCAATGACGGGCGATTCAAGGCGGACACGAACAAAAATCGCAAACAGAGAAGAGAAGATGGCCAAGGAAAGAGTTGGTGCGCAGGTTGAAGACGCAGAATTGGGCGTCGTGGAAATGAGATCCGCGACGGAAATGGAGATTGGGGGGGGGGCGAGAGGAGCAAAAGCGGCTGGGGGAGGATGCGAGAGAGAGGATGCTCCAAAAGGTATGGCCGAGAAGGAGGTACTATTGCCGTAGGGGGGCTTGGGGGGCCAAGCTCCTATACATGCAAGTACTTGTACTAGTGCTGCCTCGAGCGCGAGAAAAGGGAGCGCGGATGTACTTGCGAAGCACCGTACCTGAATCCGCCCTGGAAACTGTGGAGATGGCCAGGGCGCCAGGGTCTGTTTGGGGGGGCTAGAGCTCCAGCTTCAGCGGCTCCACCGCTGCTGCAGCAGGGAGCTCGCTGCGAGGTGCCGTCACGTTATGACGGGGAAAGTGCGCGCAGCAGCCCCGAACCGGTGGATTGCACAGTGCATGGACGAGGCGGAGGCGCTGAAACGAGGCCATTTCGCACTATGAATCTCCTTTTGCGCTTGTACACGGTGCGCACGGCTGCCGACTCTCAGCCAGCCCCATTTGATGCGCGGCGTACCTGTACATGCCGCTAGAGCATCTGCACCTACGAGTACAAATTTGAAAAGCACCCGACAGCAGAGCACAGCAGCACAGCTTAGCAACTTAGTTAGTGCTGGTACTCGTAAGGGTGGCTTGACCAGGATCAACAAAGATACATGATGTGTTTTTAATTGCATCCCCGATCAAGCGCCTCCGCAGACCTGCTAAGTTACACGGGCCAGTGGCGCGTACTGTGCAGCTATCAGGCGGACGAGCATGACGGTAATTTCAGCGGCCGCATGGGAGGAAGCAGTTGAGCTCTTGAAGCCTCACGTCGTCGGAGTAGGCGACAAGTGGCGGACGGGTCAAGATCCCTATTGGGCGTTGGCTCTGCCGCAACGCACACACACATCGCATCACATACCGACTATACATGCACGCAAAGCGCAAAGCTCAGCAAGGCAATGCGGTGCAACGCGGCCGACGGCAAGGCAGCAGGAACAAAAGGATTGATTGGATCTAGCCATCATCTGATGGATGGCAACTGGGCCATGTACTCCGTACTAACGCTGGACTTGTGCACACACTACCTTAGGTACTCTTACGCGGTATTCCCTACTTGCACTTTAATGTCCCAGGCTCACTCATTCTTGATGAAGCGGCCAATCATCATGCCACATGGACTCCAGGATGCTCAATTTGGCACGAACGGGGGTTCGAGCATTAGCCGGTTCAATTGCGCCCCTGGTCTGGGCCACTGAGAGCGCCGGGAGCCCTTGAAGCAGGTTTGGAGTCCCAACTATCGAGGTGGAGCGACTGTCCTAGAGGAGCAGGCGACGACATGGGGGTCCCTGGCCTGGGTGCAATGGATTGCGGCGCTAGGGAAAAGGGCAATTCAACCATCATGTTCAATTTTAACATTGACGATTGCTGATGCGAGCGCGCGTTTGCCTGTACCGTCGCTTGTTGCCGCTGCTGCGTTTGCGGTGTAATTGTTGCTTTCATCTGTGTGTATGTTGATTCTCCCAAGATATTTTAGTATGGAGGTTAGTAGGCACGTGTATATAATTCTGCTAATCGAAGAAGAGGGAGCCAACTCACCTCCATCGAGACGAATCACAACATGGCAAAACCGCGCTTCGCTACTCGCTCGCCATCGCTAATGATCGCCACACAATGTCTCGAAATCTTTCTCCCAGGCAGGGCAATCAATGCTGCAAAGCGGATATCTGACCAGCCAGGGGTCCCCCAACCAGGGACTGGCTAGTACAGGTACTTTCTCCGTACGAGAACAGCAAACGGAGCCATTGAATCTTTAGTCGCGTAGCTTGAGGCTTCTCGAACAAATTCTGGCCTTCTGTTACAGGTTCTCCGTCCTACAGGCATTACCAGAACAACGGTCTCGGTACGCTTGGACTCGTCCCGTACGATTTCACGGAGTACTCCGTGCACCAAACATCAGTTGAGGCAGTGGTCCGCCCTCATGACTCCGCGCACACAGGTACAGTACCACAGCCCTGTTTGCTGCTCATAAGCTGGTCCAGTACCTTTTGAGAGAGCTGTACCTACTTGGTAATATTTGCCAGCGGCAGTCAACCATTCTCCCCCTACGCGAGACAAGATGAAAACATCGTATCAGTATGACAGTAGTACCACTACGGAGCAAACTACGGAGCATAATCAGACGTAGGCGCATTAGTCCATCTGCCTGCAGGCGCAAATTACATGTGAGCATCTGCGTCGAGCCGAGCGGCAGCAAGCCCCAGAAAACGCCACCGTTTATCACCGGCCAGGAGCTGGGACGGTAAAGGCATGGAGTGCGTTGCCCTTCGGAGGGAGTAGTATGTACATAGTAGTACTTTACTCATACTTGTACAGTGTATTAGGCCATCGAACTTGAGGCAAAATGGAAGGCACTCGTACCTTTAGTACAGTACAGTATGAGACAGTCTCGATGCCTTCTTCAGGGAATAAAGAAAAAAATAAAATAAAATAAGGGGCCCCGGCCAGTCTGGTCACGCCAAGCGCAGAAAAAAAAGACGATGCCAGGGGAACTCCAGAAGGAACAGGAAAGCAATTGCTGATTTGACGCTACGTACCACCTTTCTCACACATTGTGCCCCACTGCTCCGTGGTGCTAGCAGATTTAGGGCATTCTGGGGCCAACTGGTATGGTTTGCTAGCACCGCGTACGGGGCGGCTACCAGCTGGTAACCTGAGCTACCTCCAGGTACCTGCACGGTACGAGTCCGGCCGCATGTACTGAGACTTCAATTCCATTCTGCTTCAGTGCCACCCATGCCCTTCCATCTCGTATCCCGCGCAATCAGCCAAACATCAGCGCCTTGGTTTCCAAAGCACCGCGGTGCGGGTAATACGATTACCTACTCGTACCAGGTGCGTGTTGTACTACTACGAGTTGAGCATCTGCAACTGTCCATGTTACTCCGGCAATGCTGGCTTCCATTGATGATGCATACTGTACTGGTGCCAGGCGCTATGGTTACAGGTCCCAAACGCCGCTGCAGCCGTTGAGCGCTCATCTGCGCCGAATCGCTAGCACGCTCCACAGACTGGACTGGACGACGGTCTCGTTGATGAATACCGTAATAGGTACATGTACGGAGTACCTTGGGTGGATAAGGTAGATGGGATGAGATTGATCAATTGCCAAATGTCCCGTATGAATCGCTGGCTGCACGTTTACGGACATGAATACAGGCAAGCCCTGGAGTCGTGGGTTATCATCCGATCACTTACATTGGCACTACGAGTATTACACGCACCCATCACATATTACCTAGTAGGTGAGGGATGGAGGTCTTATCTGTAATACTTCCACAGGATATCCCAAGCCACAACGATGCTGGCCAGTGTTATACACGTATTATCAAAACATGTCGTTCACCCGAAACACATGCCCGCAGAGCCTTGCATCCAGGGAGGGCTACAGCCGTCCTGCTCTGCTTGGCGCCGCAGAGAAAGACTTGATCATTCGATTTACATGCCCTCCCTGTGCCTGTCTGTATGGACTGCTGGCAGCACGGAGCAGCAATGATCTCATGCCCATGGTTGATACAGTTACAGGAGCGAGTAGCGCGTCACGATCGGCCTATTCTCCCATCTGTGGATCTCGTACCAAGAGCGGATGAGACACTCATCACCAATCCCCTTAACCGGGGCCGCTGGAGGAGATGACAGTCTGGGCAATGCAAGGCCATGGAGCCGTTTTTATTGCAGTGTCTGTGCGCGTGCCCCGTACCGTCCTCGTGCTATTCTCTGCCTTACACCACATAATAAGCAGCAGCGTACGGAGTAGTAGAGATCGGGAATGACGCACTGATGTTTCTGATCCCACACCGTATAATTACCTTTTCACCCATTAGGTACGATATTTCCGATTGACAGGCATTGGCTAGAGGTACTATGCACGTGCTGCCAAAAACCGTTGCTTGTTAATAGATCATACCCGATGGCATTCGCGTAAGCTAGGACTCCGTTGTCCATCACAGTATAACGAACATCCATGTAGACAGTCAAAAAGGCCGAAAGTGGCGATGTGATCATCGTGATGAGCATCACTATCGCTGCATTCATATATACAACATGCAAAGTGTAGACAATTAATCACATGTCCATGTATACACACTCCGCCAGGCGTCTTGGCTCTTGCATACGGCACCGTTGAAGAAACACCCGATAAGGACACCAAACGTAAGACTATTAAAATAGCGGACATGGCAATATAAGAAATCCCGATGGCGGCATGTGATTCCGCTCAAGTAATAAGGGAGCAGCTCCATCTGCCGAGCGGGAAGAACAAAAAGCCAAAAAGAACGTCCTAGGCTCCTGACACCAGGGAATAGCATGACAACAGCCGTTTGTGAGACGCCATGTTGAAATTGACCTGGAACACCGCGTCGCGATCTCCAGCAACCTCGGCCAGGATGCCTGTCTCATCCCCAGTCAGTGTCTGAAGTTCGTATTGCGCATAGCATCACCCTTGTCTTGAAGAGAAGATCGCTTCTTTATTCTGTCTTCAGTCTTCTCTTTGAAGTCGCAGTTCTAGTTTCAACAGCCGGCTTACTCCTCAGGATAGATATATTTACGTGAGTTCATGCGAGTGCATGAGGACATGCAGATCTTGGTGCACATTATCAGACAGGACGTCTCCCTTTTAATTCCCTTGCTATTACCGATGCCCAATTCGTTGAAGCTAAGAATCGGCTGCGATACCTAGTACCTTTACAGCCTTTCTACATTGCCGAGCCATAATTGCTTTTGCTCGGAACATTGCGTCGATTTCTTCAGCCCTTCCACACAATTGTGCATGTTATGACGGACAATATCCACGTGGATCGCCTGCCTATGGGGCTCCCCGTCGCCTCATCGAACTCAGTTTCAGAATATTTATAGTGATGAAATGAATTGCCCTGTGCAAATATGGTGTTTTCCGAGTAAATGCGTGAGAAGCAAGGCTCTATTACCATGCAACAGTACCAGGGAGCCGCTGTTGTGGTGGCGACATGTCAATCCAACAGCTCTTCCAAGAGTTACAATAATATCCTTAATTTCATCACCTACGCCAAGACCGTAATCCTGCATTAGCACCGGTGAGTGCTCGCGGTGGTGGAACCATGAGATGGCCACTCCGTAGCTGAGTAGGGGGTGAGCCACATGGTTTCAACGTGTGCATCTCCTTTTGTAGGGATTATTAGGCAAGGAGATGTGTTTATCATGTAGGTGAAATCTCTACCTGAGCACTCGTGATCTAGAAGATTTATTCGGATATTAGCCATCAGAGATATTGCATAAAGAAAAAGCGAAAACGCAGAAGGACATTGAATAGGTCGGCGAGGTGTTATTCTTATCTTCAACATTGGAATGGGGATGAAAGAGACGAGCTACCAACGATTGAAGGGCTCAATACTATTGTCAGCTTTAAGTGAAGAAGTCATGTCATCGAAGCGAATCACACGCATCTGCTATTCTAAATAATTAGGGGAAATAGAAGCAAAGGAAGAAATGCCTCTATCTGCCCAGATATGATTAAATCTCCCTGAAGCCGCTACTGGGTAGGCAGGCTTCAATTTGTATTTACGTCGGAGCTGCACGATTTTTGTCTGTGCTCATGGAAACAGCGTCAGGACGGAACCACAACTTTTGACTTGCCGTAGAAAATTCCACCAGATTTCGACCTTGTACACTCCCAAAACAATGTGGTGAATGTTGACCTCCAAAATATAATCAACGCCCTCGAGTGGAGGCGATCTGCGTTGTGCCCGATCCTTTAGATATGGTTGGCTCGGATTCCAGCCGACCAGCCGGCGCCAGGCACCGCCTCTCCAATCGGCCCAAAAGCTGCACGACTGCAAGCGCCCAACTTGCACATCACCGAGTTTTGCTCTCGTCAACGGCGCCTTTCGTCCGCGCCGCATCACTCGTGTCCTGAATCGCTAAATCAAGCATCGTCGAGGCGTTCGCTTCTCCAGAGAACAAGATGGCAATCCCTATGACGCAATTGGGCAGTCGTGGTGAGTCGCTTGTAGCACGACGACTGATGCTTGGCGCAATTGGCTGACCAAAGACGACAGCCTTCCACCACGAAGACAACGAAGATGTCGAGCGCGAGTACGACCATCTGCGCGATCTAGCCCGTGCCGAAGCTGACAAGCGCGGCGATTGCTTCGAACGTGTACGTTGAACTCCCAGCCTCGCCGCAAAACACGACTTTGTGTAGACTGACATGACCAGTCTAAACGCGCTTACGAGGATGGCGACGGTGCCAGAGCAAAGGAATTGTCCAACCAAGGCAAGGCCCATGATGCCAAGATGAAGGAATACAACCGCCAGGCGTCCGACTACATCTTCCGCGAGAACAACGCCCCCGGCCGCGTCGACCCCGACAGCATCGACCTTCACGGACAATTCGTCGAAGAGGCGGAGCGCATTCTCGAGCAGCGCATTCGCGCGGATCAAGCCCGGGGCCAGACGCACCTGCATGCTATTGTCGGCAAGGGCAACCATTCGGCGAACCACGTTCAGAAGCTCAAGCCAAAGGTGGAGCAACTGTGTCAAGAGCTGGGCCTCCAGTATAGCACAGAGGATAATGCCGGCAGGATATACATTAACCTCCAGGGCGGAGAGCCTATTCCGCCGCAGCATGGCGGTTATGGAGGCCAGCAGGATCAATACCAGCCTCATCATGGACAGCAGCAACATGGTGGCCAGCACCGACCTCCACAGCAACACCATCAACAACAAGAACAAGACGAGACCGAGATGGTCGAGGGTCTCATTCCCATCCTCCTGCAAAAGCTGGAAAAAGCTTGCTGTATGGTCATGTAGAGCGGGATCAGAACAATATCGGCGCATCAATGCTACTCTTTCTGGAGATTCGAGTGACACTTGGAGATTCTTTTTCTTCTGCTTTTTTTATGTTTTGGATACACACATATACCACATGGGTGATTGGCTTTATATATTCCTACCATGATAAACTTCGACGAGCAAACCAAGGAGATCGATTAGATCAAGGGCAGAAACTAATATATTCTAGAAATTAATGCTATCTATTCGTGAAAGAATGAAACTGCTTAAACTCTTTATGCCAAGATATCCCGAGCTAAATATCAAAAGGGTATTACTCTAATAATCCCATTGCCGTTCCGCGCTGATCCTATTGTAACCTTTGTTCGCCCTTAGTAATCCATCCTGAAAATCCCATCAATTGCAGACCCCCTCGAAGCAGTTCTCCTACTTACTGCTAAAAGCTTGCATCTCCTCGTCGCTTCGGGGAACCGGTTGCGGCACCACCTTGTCCAAGTTGAATCCAAGGATTTCCGACAGGAGAGTAACGATCATTTCCATGAGAGAGGACATGCCCAGGTAAAGCCAGGGAGTGGAAGTAATGCCGCCAAAGATGAGGAGGCATGAGTATACGAGGCGCACGAGAATGAGAGGGAAGCAAACGGCCACAGTGAAGATGATTCGGTGCTCGCCTGCGCCGACATGGCTCTGGTTGATGATGGCGAGGACGATGGCGAAGGCGAGGAGAGCCGTGATGGCCACCAGAATACCCTCAGCAGCGTGGCTGACTGTGGAATACTTGACTTTTGGCTTGCCGTCGACAATGGTGAAGTCAGACTGGGTGCCGCCCACGATAAGGAGGATAATGGCAAGGAGAACCAGAATCTCCACGAATTTCTGGTGCTGCGGCTGGATGATGGAACGGCCTTTGCGCTGCATGGACTCGAAAACGCGAGTCAGAAGGCCGAGCGCAAGCATGATGAGCGGTGCCAAGCCGATACCCTCGAGAGTCATCCAGCCAATGTACAGGTTGATGTTGTCAGGGGAGGAAATTGTTGCTAGGCGGAGACAGGCGCCGATGATACGGGCGAGGGAGAGGATGATGACGGCTCGGAAGCCGGCGTTTTTGGTGAAGCCATGCTTGAGGCAGAGAAAGATGCCTCCTGCGAGGGCGAAGAGATAGAATGAAAGCTCGGCGATGGCGATGTCGTCGTATGATTGAAGAGGGCGACCCATGGTTGGTTGTGTAAGTGGGGAGGAGAGGAGTTGATTGTATAAGTCGAAGTGAGAGGGTTGGGGGAGAATACGACAATGTTCTGAGTTGTATGGTATTCTCTTTTCTTAGACCAGACGAGAGTGTCTCTTGAGCTGTCTATATAGTTGTGAGGTTGTTGATGTTCTGAGATGAGGTTCCAACAAACAAACCATCCCCAAGCACCGGACACTCTAGTTATATAACTTTTTCATGCCAACCACGCGTCTGCTTGTAAGCTTCTCCATAACCATGAACGCTACGGCTAACGGCACCTTGTTAGGCTGAAAATAAGCAATTGCAACCTTCGCAGCCCCTTTGCTCGAGGCCATCACACAACCGACTCGATAAGCTTGAGGCCTCGCCGTTTCCAGGAACAAAAGCCTGATTGGCTACATTGAATCGGTTACCCGATGAGGAACAGCGCCATCTCTTGGGATCTCTTCAAATCCCCTAGTCCCAGCGTTAGCAGCTCCTTGCCAGGGCCCGTTTCTCGGCGCTCCGTCCGCCGAACTGCCGACCGGCGGCCAAAGGATTTGCATCCTGCTCGAATGGCATGGGCCTTTCAGAGTTAGGCGGCGAGGCGGTGCACCACGCTGCTGCGCTTCGCGAATTAGGCTTGATTGAGAGAGGAGTCATGTTTCGTAAGTCGCTGTTTGATATATTGTCTAGATGCGCCCTTTCAGGACGGCGTACCCGAATGAGGACTTTTTTTTCTTCTTACCCGCTGCGGCTGTTCATGCGGTCGAGGCCATGCGAAGATCCCTGACGACAAAGATGAAGGAAAGCCTCCTAATTTGCTGTGACGAGTGACGTCGCTCACTCTCACCACCACCACCAAAAAAAAAAGTGCACTAGGCCGACCTGGAGTACTGCCACACAAAATTCCTTTTCCCCCACATAAACCAGTAACGACAGCATCAAAAAGAAAGTCGTCGACTTCGGCAACAAGATGCCGGTACGTACGTTACTCGCTGCGTCATTCCGCACGCAAGCACATCGTCACCATCACACTGTAAAAAAATGAGGGGTTCCCATTTTAACATGGTCGCCATGCGTTTCTCTATAGCTCATCATCCTCACGGGACTGCCCACGTCGGGCAAGTCGACACGGGCGAAGCAACTGCATGACTATCTCGCTGCGCGCATCCCCGGAACCAAGTATCGGCTGCACCTGATATCAGACGACTCCCTCTCAATATCGCGATCCGTATACGATCTTTCCACAGTGCCGGTGCACACAAGATCGGCAAACGCAAGCGAAAAGGATGCGAGGGCAGCCATCTACGGCGCTGTAAAGAGAGTGCTGAGCGATAAAGACATCGTCATCCTCGATGGTCTGAATTATATCAAAGGCTGGCGGTACCAGCTACACTGCGAAGCGAAAGCCGTCCGAACGCCGAGCTGCATATTGCAGATTGGATGCTCCAAAGAGCGCGCGCAGCAGGTTAACGAGGACAGGCTAAAACGAAGCCAGGCCACGGCTGACCAAGACGGAGCCGACACATCAAGCGACGCTGCAGAGCCGTATGAGCCCGCCAACTGGGAGAATCTCGTCTTTCGACATGAAGAGCCTAATCCCATGACTCGCTGGGACAGTCCTTTGTTTACAATCATATGGGAGGACGACGAGGAACAGGTGAAGAAGACGTTTGACTCTCTCTGGGAGGCCGTTGCTGGAGATGGCCGCAAGATCATCAGGCCAAACCAGGCTACGGAGCAGCGAGGACGCGATGCGAGTGGCGATTACTTGTACGTGCTGGATCGCGAAACACAGGACATTGTGAAACGAGTCCTAGATCAACAGGGTGATGACGGTGGCGGTGAGGTCAAAGTACTTCTGAGCACTGGCGGCAAGAAGGAGCTTGTCGTCGAGCTGCCAGCGACAAGAAAGGTTGGCTTGCCAGAGCTGCAGAGGCATCGGAGAGCCTTTATGGGGTTGAATAGAGGAGGGATTGGGTTGGAGAAAGTGACCAACATGGCTGCCGACACGTTGAGGGAGTCGTTTGTCAACTACCTCAATAACGCATTTGAGAATGAATAGGATGTTTGAAGCAGCTCGGATGACCTCCATATTCTCACTTTCACTGTGGACCCAGAGACCCGCACTTCTCGGATTCAGTATTTCTGAGAGCAGGCCCAACAAATCCTTGCTGGGTTTGCCTCAATTTCCATGCTATTACAGGGTAGGCAGCATGGTATGGAGAGCATGCCACATATGGGAAGCCAAGAAGCCAAGCAACGGAATAGTACGAGTATTACCCACGTTTGGATACCTGGTAATCGCTCAATGCATGTAATTAGAACGCTGATGCGATGCTAGGAGGGGGCTAGATTCATGCTTCACATCAGAGATGCATATAGGCATGCTTACTGTAGGCAAGGTTCAGTGGCGGCGGGAGACAAAGCCCAACGCGCCACGAGGAGAACGAGAAGGCCCAACAAAGCGGTTACAACAATGGAAGTCAATACTGGAATCTACCACTTCTAGGGGGCAAAATAGTTGAACATCAATAGCAATCCCACGAGGGCGCTCCGCAGCAGGAGAGTGCCTGGATGTCTTGTGTGTACAAGTAGGTGATTAGGAATGTTGCCGCATTATCTGCTTAGTCACTACGGAGTACATGTACCTGAGGATGAATGACTTCATCAAAATCGCCCCCCTGCCAGCAGTGGACATCAAGGTATTCTGCTTTCCTCGGGTAATGCTACCCCGGTCGCAGCCAGACGATAGAAAAAGAAAAAGAAAAAAAAAGTAACTGACTGTATACGTTCAATTTGGGTTATCGCAACGTTATCAAGGGGCAAATAGAAGCTGGTAGATGCCTCCAGTCCTGTGGCAACGCCTGCACGCGCTGCTTATTCGATCAGTCCAGGCTGCAGCTCGTCATCGTACGCTCTGCAAGGGAGCGCTGTGTGGGTGCGCTGGCTGGTACATGTACAGGTAGCCTGTTGCGCGTCCCCAGTTGCCTGGCGCTTCTTTCAGTGGAAGTCGGCAGAAGATTCCACTGTTGGCGGCCACAGCGCAGCCTCGCCAGTAGCCAGCAGCCGGTAGCGCAGCTCAGAGGCCCCTGCATCATTGATATTCCGCTCCGCTCAGGGAAGCGGGCGCTGTCATTGGCCCATGCCCCTCTGCTTCGGGGGCGTGTGGATGCCCGTGGCTACGTTTAGGCCTTGTGTGCCAGATCTATGGGAACTCTCTGGACACCTCTAGCTTTCGCCGCTTAACCTTCTCTCCTTCATACCATCCTCTCCCCGATTACAAGTTCAAGAATCAACTCTCCTGCTCCCTCTTCCTCAGACCAGTTTTGAGGAGGCAGCATCTGCGTCTTCTTTTCTTCTCCGTTTCCACCAACCCCGGCCTTGGTCCTGCTCCCACCCCACATCGTCGTGAACGCAGCCGTCATCCATCACCATGGCTTCTCAGCCTGAAGAGCACAAGAAGAAGGTCAACTTGACGTATGTGCAGCCTCTGGAGATGTTTTGGAGTAGCCGTCGAGAAGCCAGAGCCAGCTAACCACCTCGCAGCGACCCCTCCGGCGCGGAGATCAAGCATGTTCGTTCAACCCACCTTTGCTTAGATATCCAGGGCGGGGAAACTAACTTTATCACAGGAAGATGACACCGCCACTGCCATTCTCAAGAAGAAGAAGAAGCTCAACCAGCTGATGTAGGTGCTCATCTCGGACGAACGGCACGAAATTGCATACTAATGGAGACCAGGGTTACCGATGCCGTCAACGATGACAACAGCATCATTGCCCTGTCCGAGGCTACCATGGACGCCCTCCAGCTCTTCCGCGGCGACACTGTCCTTGTACGAGGCAAGAAGAGAAAGGAGACAGTCCTGATCGTCCTTGCGGACGAGGAGCTTGATGAGGGAAGTGCTAGAATCAACCGAGTTGTCCGCCACAACCTCCGAGTGAAGCATGGCGACATGATTACCATTTCTCCTTGCCCCGATATCAAATATGTGAGTACGCTCGATACCCTCGACTTGATGCAACACCACATCTAATGTTTACAACTAGGCCAAGCGAATTGCCGTGCTTCCTATTGCCGACACCGTCGAGGGCCTCACTGGCTCCCTTTTCGACGTTTTCCTCGCCCCATACTTCCGCGAAGCCTACCGACCGGTAAAGCAGGGTGACCTGTTCATCGTACGTGGTGGTATGAGGCAAGTCGAGTTCAAGGTTGTCGAGGTGGATCCTCCGGAATATGGTATCGTGGCTCAGGATACCGTCATTCACTGTGAGGGCGAGCCTATCCAGCGAGACGAGGAGGAGAACAACCTGAACGAGGTCGGCTATGACGACATTGGTGGATGCCGCAAGCAGATGGCCCAGATCCGAGAAATGGTTGAGCTTCCTCTCCGCCATCCTCAGCTGTTCAAGTCCATTGGTATCAAGCCGCCTCGAGGTGTCTTGCTTTACGGTCCTCCTGGTACCGGTAAGACTCTCATGGCTCGTGCCGTTGCCAACGAGACTGGCGCTTTCTTTTTCCTCATCAATGGTCCCGAGATCATGTCCAAAATGGCTGGAGAATCTGAGTCAAATCTGCGAAAGGCCTTTGAGGAGGCTGAGAAGAACTCGCCTGCCATCATCTTCATCGATGAAATCGATTCCATCGCCCCCAAGCGAGACAAGACCAATGGTGAAGTTGAGCGCCGTGTTGTGTCCCAGCTCCTTACCCTCATGGACGGCATGAAGGCTCGTTCCAACGTTGTCGTCATGGCCGCTACCAACCGACCCAACTCCATCGACCCGGCTCTGCGACGATTCGGTCGTTTCGACCGTGAGGTGGACATTGGTATCCCCGACCCAACTGGCCGTCTGGAGATTCTCCAGATCCACACCAAGAACATGAAGCTTGCCGATGACGTCGACCTCGAGCAAATCGCTGCCGAGACCCACGGTTACGTCGGTTCTGATGTTGCCGCCCTCTGCTCCGAGGCTGCCATGCAGCAGATCCGTGAGAAGATGGA